GGGGGTGGGGGGTGGGGGGTAGGGGGGTGGTGGTTTATGAAAAGGGCATGACTAATAGAAAAATAAAGAGAAGGGGTCTGCGTACAAAACCCCCTTTATTTTCGGGGGATGTCTATTCTGTCCCCTTCCACTTCAACAAATCTCCCTCGTGTCCCTTTGCCTTATTTAATTCACTTTCCTTTTTACTACTTTTTTATTTTATTTTTCTTTTCTTCCCTCTAATTAATTATAAACAAATAGTTACAAGCACAAATTTAACTACTAATAATCTATGCAAGCATAGAATTAATTTTATTTTTATTTTATTTGACCGTAGCGGCTAATTGGATTTAATTCTATTTGCTAACCACTTTGTCTGCACAATTTACAGATGGGCACATGTATTTTTTCTTTTTTGCCTTTTTCCCCCATGAGGTTATTGGTAAAGGTAAAAGAAAGCCCACAAGTGATGTTTATCTTCATTGGTTGGGTGATAAAGTGGAGTGTGTGGATAGTCCCTATTTTAAGTAGTGAAAGATGGTCCCAAAGTTGTTGTTTTTTCCCCCTTACCTTGTATGTTTTTTTTTTTTTTGGGTTGCAATTAAATTCGGCACATGAGATGATATTATTTATGAGTAACATGCATAGAAATCAGCAAATTTAGATTGCTATTTAATATCATGAATTTGATGCAATCATTGATATGAAATCCTCTCAACAATTTAACTAATGAAAAAAAAATATGTGATTTTTTATTAAAAAATATATGTAGATTAGCAATCGGAAATAATTTTCACAAGGCATTTTTTTATCAGTGATATATTTATTTCTTTCATGTCGGTCATCAAATAAAGCCCAAAACACAACACATCTACAAATAAGTTAATGGGTCAATCCATTTAATTTAATTGTACAAGATTATAGCATCTTTGCTCGTGTACCGCGTGACCTATCATGGCATTCCTATCTAATTATTAGTAAATGATACTACAATCAATTAGTAAGATAACTCATAATTAATTAAAAAAATTGCCTTATTTGGTATTTGATTTATTGAAATAATTATTTTGGTATAATTGTAAACATAAAGGAAATGAACTCTTAGTTTCACTTATTAAGTGATGCTGCATTGCACGTGCCATATTTTTATTATTTAAATATGATCTCCTAAATTGTATCTATGGTCCAAAATCAAGCGGTATATTCATCGGTTATAGTATTTCATAAAATGTGATTATTAGCCGAATTAGGTAATTAGTGCAATTAAAAAAAGGAACAATTATCAACAAGAATTTTAAAAGGAGCCCGGAAAAGGAATTCTGAAAAGGTAGAAAAAAATAGCTGAAAAGATGGTCACCTACATAACAAGAGTGTATTAACCACTAATCACTAGTACCTAAGAAAAAAGGATTAAGTAGATTAATTTATAAAGATAAGGGGCGAAATTGTAATTTGGATCGAAGAGCATGGACAAAAGTGTAAAAAAATAATGCAAGGGGGGGGCAGGTCGCAATCATAGCCATTCAATTGCATGGCACCCAACAGAGGGGCTATGGGGGCTATTACATATAGGTCTGGTACGCCTACGATTGTAACCCGGACAAAACGGGTTACTACACAAAGACCCAACTGACAATGACTCGACCTATGCTTTTATCTTGTTTGGGATAACTCTCTTTCATCACGCGCCTCTTTGACGTGTTTCGCTAACTCGCCCTCTACAAGTTTTTGTTATATGGGAAATAATTAATTTAATTTAATTTAATTTAATACATAAATTAAACAAATAGTGGAGAAAATATTGTACTGTGAAATGAATGCATTAGAGAATTGTTCATTTAATTAGGTTTTTTTTAGGCTACACCCAATTAAATACATCAGATAATTAGGGATGGTTATTTAATCACATCAATTATCACTTTATTCATGTATGAAATTGTTCTACTAAGTTTGAGTAGAAAAATAAATTAATAAATAAAACTAATAAAATATTAACTACCAACTACATAAATACCATTTAATAGTTTAATTGTTTTTTAACAAGACTGTATGATTGGATCTATTTATTTCGTTTAAATAGAAATTGCCCAAAAATATGAAAACAAGTTAAATAAAATAAAAAGTGTCTACAAAAATCTAAAAAGTGATGGTACTCACGGACCACACGAAAGCAAAGCATGTCATACACGCGCTTTGATCACGCATCAGTTTCATTAAAATAATAAGAATAAAAAAAATTCTTAATTGGGTTTAATAAATTAATGAATATAAATTTATTAATTTAATCATAATTAATTTATATGTATTTCATTAAACTATTATGTATTTACTACATAATATATGTATTTAATCCCATATGGACTTTTTTAATAAATAGTTATGTAGTAAATAAAATTTTCGGATTTCTAAAAGTAAAACAATGAGAAAGGTTTCGTGTAAAATAAACAAAATTGGGAAATAACCCTTCTATATTATCCCTTTTGCCATTTACCCACAACTGGTAATTTTATTTTCAAATTGAGGTGTTACTGTGCAGAAGAATATTCTTACTTTAAAAAGGAAATTAAATTATGCAAAATGACAGCATATTTGTCTCCGATAAATGTGCGATTTATTGGAATATTTGTCAATTATTGTTTCTTGAAATAAAATTTCGCTAATGTTTGTTGAATATTGTTTTGGACCTTGACTTTTTTTGAGTAAAAGAAATAATCCATGTTAAAAAATTCAGTTTTATTTTGTAAAATTTATAAACCAAATATGACACAAAGTCACAAACATATATCATATTTATAACTTATAAGACTAGAATTGTGTCAGGCATAACCGAGCCCGCATGGGTGTAGCTCAACTGGTTCCGGAGGTGGTAAGTTGGTGCAAGGTCCTAGGATCGAATCCTGGCAGCCACAGTGTGGGAATTTCAACTCCAATGAGGGTTGGTTCCTTGTGGGCACCAGGTCCGGGTCCGCTACCTTAACGGGCCGTTGAGTTACCATGATTTACATTCCTCCATCAATCCTTGTCGGGATTTCGCCTTTTGATGTAAGTCAGGCATAACCGAAGCCCAATTGCTCCACCCGATTATATTTGAGCCAAACATATTTTTCGGCAATTGGGATGAGTTTAATTTTACCATGGCTCACTTGAATAAAGTCCGGCCGATCAAGTTAATAATAAAATATATAATATATTTATTATTTTAATAATACCGCTTAACATACAAATTACAATTGTATAAACTTACTTTGTTTAAAAAAAAAAGTAAAGTAAAAAATAAAATGAATTGAGTAGTGGATGTTTCAATATGTGTGTGAGATAGGAATCAAACACAATATATACACCCAAATCCAATTACTGAAATTTATCACTGATATTTGAAAATATAAATCATTTCGAATGATAAGAGATACTAATTTTTTTCCCCTTTTCAGTCTTGATTCTAAGTTTTTCCAATATCTGCAAAAATCGTTTATCACATATTTTTCATAACAAAAGTTATACTAATTACAATTATATAGGTAATGAGGCCCGATATAAACTCAAAACTCGAAAAAGACATAAGTCGAGTTAGAGTCTATATTATTGAGGCCCGATGTGATCTTGAGCGATAGTAATAAGACCCGATGAAATGTGAATTTGAGTTTACCCAAATTCATCTCAGGTGGGCCGATGGCTAGCCGTAGATATATACATCAATACATGTATCGTGTATTTGTGTGTATATATTATATTCAATAAATATACCTTTTTTCCCCACATCTATTTACGTTGGTAGAAATTACTAATTAGAATGAGTAATTATTAAGAAAGAAAGTGTGCAGCCGCAAATTACATCCACGTGTACTCCCGTGTAAAACAAATTACATTCATGTGTAATCATTTTGTTTCACTTATGACTAATCATCATGGTTTAATATGAACTTTACTTAATTACTTTAACCACCAAATAATCATGTCTTTGACCACAGTCAATGACCACTGCAAGATCATAATGAACTCTTTCGGCCATAATGAACTCTTTATTATTAGATCCTCTATCAAATGCCATATTACAAAATGCTATTTATTCAATTTCATGCAACAGATATAAAGAAATCAAATAAGTATATATTTATAAATATAAAAAAAAAAAAGGAAAAGAAAAAGAAATGGAATTAAAAGGAACCAAGTTGGCAGGTAAAGAGAAAATGGTAAGGAAAGGCAGAAAGACAAGGACTTATGATAAAGGGTTTGGCTTTTTTAGCTTTTGCAGCAGAGCCCCTCGACTTTTTCGCGGGCTTTCACTGAACCCATTTCTCTCTGCCACCACTGTTTCCCCCCACTCTCACCCCTTCACCCCACCTTTATCGCGTCAACTCCACGCTCCTCCATTTACTATATGTATATACATATTTTAACCCTTTTAATTTTCTTTTTTAGTAAAAACTGGACTTCAAATTTAATTGATTTGACTCGCAAGAAAAAAAATATAATACAAAATATGTAAGTACAACAATATAACAATTAATTAATTAATAAATGAAGAAAGATTGAATTTCCCAATAAAAAATAATATAATTTAATAAGCATGAGAGAAAGTTGCCAAAAGGAACTAGAGCGGTCATTTTCTAAACAGAGAGGGGGTGTGTCGGCTAACTGAAAAGCGGGGGGTGAATTCAGCACCTCGATCTAAGCGGAGATCGTACGGTCATGATTTACCAATCTTAAAAAAAAACCAACGGTCACTGTTCATTGCATGCCCACAGCATTTACCATGGTTTGCACGGATTTGATCACAACGTACAACTCCATGCAGATTTCAAATGTACCACCATTTTATGCATCAAGACTCAAACAACAAATACCATAAATAAATAAATAAATATACAGACCATTCATTAAAACTGCTTTTTTAACTAATCACTTCCGAAGTGGAAGCTTTTAAATAGATAGGTACTATAGTAATTGGTAAGAAAAAAAGAAAGAGAAACTGACGTAGTTCAGTGTAAAAGAAAAAGGTCCACAATTATTAATTGTAATAAATATGACAAGAAAGACAGTAAAATTAAATGAGAAATAAATACTAAAATAGCTATTCTTCTAGATTTCAAACTCAACCACCAAAGAGTTAATTTATTGTTGTATAGCCCATCCCACATTTTTTTTTTCTTCAGAAATCATGTCTATTAATTATTTATTTTTATTAATTTTGGAATAATTTTTATTTATTTATATTTATTGCATATATTTTTTTCAAACAACACTATTACAGTCCAAACTTCCCCAAAAAAAGGAGAGACAATTTTATGAAACAAGGATAATGTTAATTGCACGCTACATATTAAGATAAAACATATAAAGAAATCATTGGGAGTATAAATAAATAAGGAAAAGTGCAAATGAAAATAATTTGGTAAATATTTTAGGGTGACAAATAAATTCCTTAGGAGTACTTAAAAGGGCAATTTTGATAATTGAGCAGAATCTTATGTAAAATTCCGAAACACCACTTGTTGGATTTAAATTAACCTACGTGGGTAAAAAAGTGAACTGTCGGATACTTTGATGTATTTATTTATCCAGAAAATAAATAAATAATAATTATAAATGAATATGTCAGAGTTGCAGCATTCAGTAGGAAAATAAATCTGATCTGAAGGAAGACCCATTGACCACAACTATAGAGTAGCTGATGCTACTTACTTTGTACTTTTTATTTTCGATAAATATATTTATCATTAATCTATTTAATTGTTGCACTAGATTTTGCAGGTATTTTATTTATTTATTTCAATTTTCAGGTAGTTTGGGCCATATAAAATGGTGAAAGATTGCATTTTTATTGAATTAGTGACCGAAGTTGAAATGGACCACAAACAATGGGGCCCATTTTAATATTGGGCTTTAAAATATAAATCAATTACTTAATGGGCTTCTCGTTATGGGACCTTGTTGGATTAAATTTTGTCTCCAAAATAATATCGGTATTGAAATGGCCCGATTGTTTATTATAAGTAGGGGTGCCGGTAAATTGATCGAACCGGACCGAACAAAATCGAGCCGAAAGTTAAGTACGTGTCAAATACCGGACCGAAAATTCAATTAGATATTCTCTAAATATTGTTTGGAATTCTTGTATTCGATACGGTATACAGTGTTGATGCTCGGTATACCGAACCGTACCGAATACTGAAATAATGAACAAATATTTTTGTTTCTTTTATTTTAAATTCTTTTAAGTTTATAATTAACAAACTATAAAATATTTCTAGATTGATAACTTTTTCAATATTTACAAATTAGCCTCTATAACCATTTTGTGTTATTAGGGCCGATTAATGAAATTTGAATATCGATTCAAGAATTAATTTACTTAAATTTAAAAATTTACATTTGTTTACATTTAAAAAAAATATAAAATCTAATTTCGATTATACAAGTAACGAACATAAAAAACGAATTAATTTGGTAAAAAATCGCACCAAACCGAATAATCCGGTACAGTAAACATAACAAGTTTTTGAAGTACTGAAATTTCGATACACTATTACCGAATAAACAGCCCTAATCACAAGAAACATTAATAACATAAGAAAAAATCAAGAAAAAATGAGAAAAAAATTTAATATATTTTTTCACAAGTGTTTATTTATCATGACACACCTACACAAATATATTTCTATGTACAGCACAGCTCCCATATTAATTAATTAATCCCCTTCACACCCCCCCTCCCCCAAGAACATAAACACACACACAACACACACACACAAACGGTACAAAGGGAAGCAAATTAAAAGCTTAATGGAAATTAGCAGTTCCACATAGCAACAACTATATCTAGACAAACAAACACACATATATGTATATATATATAAACAATCATTTTGCTAATATTTACCTAACCAATTTTTTAATTAAAATGCTAATGAAACTTAAAGCTGACGTTGCACCCTTTCGAGTTGGCTCGTTTCAGCGATCCCCTGGCCCCACACATTTCGTCGCTCGGCGTCGGTGTTGACGGAGAGGGAGGAGTTTCTTCGTTCGACGGGAACGAGTTCCACCTCAGCAAAGTTGTCGACGGGCACTTTAGTATCCCCTTTATAGGCTTTTTCCCGTTGGAGGAATCGTCGCTCGAATTCCCCGTTTCGCCCTTGCTACATTCCACGTCGATGAGATCGTTACACGAAGCGTACTTTTTCGTCCTTGTCCTAACCGAAGGTGGCGAGTAATCCTCCGGGGTATAATCCCCCTCCGGAATCTTGGCATTCGCGAGAAAATCAACGAAAGGGCCCTCGTTGCATTCGACGTTGACGAGAACGTTGTTGTCTTTTCCCGGTTGTTGTTTCTTGTTATTCTTCTTACCTTTCGGCACTTTGAACCACCCCTCGGCTAGAAGTTGGAGGGAATTCAAATTCTTGAGAAACGAGCTTTTCTTCGACGAGTAATCCGTTTGCGGCTGCTGCTTCTTCTCGTTGGCTTCGCCCAACAATCCCATCGCGATCACGGTGGTGACGAAAAGCTGGCAGATCGCGCACTTTATCTGCTCGTGCCTCTCAAAAGACGAAGCCTCCGTTAAACCGATCATTTTCTTGATTCCAAGAACTCTTTGTGCCAACTCAGCCAATTCCCATCTCTTATATTTAGAATCCTTTAGACTTCTCGCAGCTAGATAACCGATATCGACTTCGCTCTTCCTCAAACCCAATTCCTCAAATGGGAAAATGTCGGTCTTCTCGGGAATACCGAAGCCGACAACGTTAATCCTCTTGTCCGCAAGGAATCTATGGATGCCAGCCGGCAACGCTTCGCCAGCCTTGAACCTAAGAATCACACAACCAACGCCAAAGCACAACAGCAGCAATATAACAGACGGATCACGAGGGTGGCACATTACATCGAGCCCGACAATCGGCTTACGGGCCCACACCTTCCCGTCGGGGAAGAGAAAATCCATTTTGCATAGAGATTCGAAATCCTTCGTCTTGAATGTGATTGCTTCAAGCTTCACCTCGAACCGATTCGTTTTCAAGTACACCGTCCCCGCCATTTCCGTCGGAAAACACGATTCACTCGAAGCAACGAAAACGTCTTCCGAAAGTCGGCAGAGGAGCAATGTGATCAGAGACAAGAAACAGAACATATCAATGAGAAACAGAACGTGGCGTGTCATGATCGGGGGCCATCGAGGTGTCGCGATGAGTTTGACCGACGGGCCGGGCGGGGGACGAAAACCTGACTAGTTGGAAGAATAATGCTATGTACCATAAGAGAGAGAAAGAATTAGAGAGAGAAAGAGAGAAAAGAGTACATGGAAACTAATGGTAATGCAAGATTGAAGTCTATTTAAAGGAACAATGTTTTTTGAAGGATATGAGTTATCCACATGTTTTCTGTGTTTAATGTTTGATCCAGTCAATTGAATTAGTGGTTGTTCAAACATTTTTAGCACTTTTTAAGGTTTATTATGGGATAATTATGACCATGCATGAAGATTCTTTTTTTCTTTTTCTTCTTTCTCTTCCTATAATTGTGGAAATGAAATTTATATAGGATTTCCTGTATAGCGTCCACGTACATTGATGGATTAAGTCAAGAAAGGTTGACCATGGTTTACTGAGAGTTTGACCTTAGAAAGAATATTCCTAGGATAATAAAACAGAACATCAATGATTAATGAAGGACTAATTAGCAATATATTCAAACTTCAGTTGGGATTAAATTTGTCAACTTGGGCCTTAGTTGACATTTTTTGGACTTGTGTGCTTTAGATTTGGATATACCTTCGGCCCTTTTGAGCTTAGCCCATCAAATACATTCTAAGAGTTTTTAAAATTATCTTAGTTTAAGAAAAAAATATTTCAACTATATTCATTTAAGGGTAAATTACCGACACCCCAGAGCTAAGGTTAAATTATGAAAAAATATCTCATGTTTGAGTAATTATAACAGCTCTGCCAATTATGAATTTCCTTACACGTTCACAATTGCAGTGTCAAATTCAACATAGTCTTCTAGATTCTTGGGATGTTATCTAGTTCGTACTAATTTTGTGCAAAAAGATGCAGTTTCTGATGCACCGCAATATGATATTTACAAATCAAGAGATACATATGATGATCATCTTATTTCAAAATACGAAGTTCGAATGGAGTAAAATAGGTAGAAATTAAACTAGAGAATTCCACATAAACTAGAAGACTCCACTAAATTCGACACCACAAGAATCGACATGTAAGAAGATTCATAGTAGATGGGTGACTGTAATTACCTACATAGGAGGATTTTTTTGTAATTTGACCTTACCTCCGCGTGGCTGTAATTTACTAATTTACCCTTTCTTTATTAATATATTTTGAATTTATGTAGTTTTCCTTATGTAAAAAGTCGCTATTTTATGAACGCGCTTAAGAAACGGAGAAAAGACTACTGAATAAACAAATCAGATCATCATCGGAAAATATTTTAATAATCGGAGAGCATCGTTCAAACTTGCACAACTATGGATGATTTTTCAGTGTCTACCTGCAAACCACGCAATTTGCCTTCCTTTTCAAGTAACTCACACCCTCTATGAACCAGTCAACTCCCCTCCCCCCCCCCCCCACCCAGTTGTTCATCGGCTTAAATATTTCAAAATCATAAATTAGGAATCTCGTTCAATTTTAGATTTACAAATCGAAGATCAAACAAAATCAAAAAGCAGCGAATTAGAATCTAGAGAGAGAGAGAGAGGAGAGAGGAGAGAGAAATAGTAATGGTCCTTCCTCTATTGAAGCTCGGAACCCTTGCCCTAAAAACTGTGAGCAAGCCCATTGCCGCTAGGCTCAAGCAACAGGCTGGGCTCCACCCCAAGTTCAGAAACATCATTGTCAGCGTCGCTCAGGTATTTTTACATCGCACTCGATTTTAATATGTGGTTCAAATTTTGGAATCGGTGAGTTTTTTGATGGGGTTTTTGAACTAGTATATTCCGTAATTGGAAGTTTTGTTGATTTGAAGTCATTTTACTTGTTGATTGATAAATTAGGTTACACACATCAATATTTTTAGGTCATTTGTTGGATATGGTTGGCTATGGGCTCCTTCGAAAAAAAGAAAAATAAATAGTAGATTGGGGAATTGGGATTGGAAATTTTCTTTCGAATTTCAGATTGTATCGTCGTTCGTTTTCAATTAATGGTATACACTGCATATTGTCCAGTATTCGACATGTATTTTGCACTAATGCCATATACTTAACTGGTTTATCGTATAATTATATTGGTTTAACCAGGCCAATCACCGGATAACAACAACGATGCAAAGGCGGTTATATGGTCATGCGACTGATGTTGCGATTCGACCTTTGGATGAAGAGAAAGCTGTTCAAGCTGCAGTCGATCTCATTGGGGAAGCTTTCGTCTTCTCGGTACTCTTTCTTTTCAGCTTCCACTTTTCTTCATTTCGTTTACTTGTTGCTTTATACAGTATAGTTTTTTTATTATTTTTTATTATTTATATATGTTGTTTAATTTTACCAGAACGAATGTTTAGTGATTCAACTATTCTTTGCATAGCTAATGATAACTCACTACAACTTGTCTATGGTAAAACGGGAGTTTGGCCATTTATTTTTTTGGTGGTGATGGTGATTATTTATGTATTTATTCATAATTCTCTAATGTTTTAGTGGGATGATATCCCTATAATTTGGAATTATCGAATGCAATTAAATGATTTCATTATCTTTGCTGAAGTGCGTTCTTTTTTTATTCGCATCGTTAAAGGTGTTTCACTTTCATATCGGGTATTCTGCAGATATGAGAGCCATGTTTGTTATAGCTGCTATGTCGAATAAGTAAATCAAGATTGTGTCACTCATTTTGTTGGTGCCTGCGAATTTAGACAACTCATGTCGTGGTCTATTATCTTCTTAGCAAGCAAAATATAAATGGAAAAAAAGTGAAGAAATTAAATAAAATCTCGACACTGCTCAAACAGATTTTTGAAAAGACCGAGATTCATGCATTGTAACTTAGTCAGCTAAACCCTTCTTATCTTGGTAGATTTATTGTTTATTTATCTAAATTCTAAAAGTTCTACACTTGCGATTTGTTGTCCAAGTTTTTGCTAGGTCAATGTCTCAAATATTCCAATGTCTTGAGTACCTTTCTATGACTTTATGTTTAGCTATTTAAATATGAACTCGTGTGGTATAATACATAGTGTATCCTCGTTTTGATCATCGATTCCGAAAGGATTTTGCTATTTGCGATAGCTTTTTTAACTGATTCCAAAAAAAAAGAAGCACCAAATATGTGACTGATGTTTCAAATTACTTAATTAGGTGGCAGTAGCTGCACTGTTCTTTGAGGTGCAAAGAAATGCCCGTTCAGAAGCTAAAAAGGAGGAAATTCGGAAACAAGAAATGGAGGTAACGATAAAGTCCTATGAATTCGTAAAATGATCATGAATTTTGTTCTTTGTGAATGATTTTTTTGTAATTTTTGATTTATATAAATAATTAATAGGCAATGAGGGAACGAGACGATGAGCTGGCGAAAGAGGTGGAGCTTCTGAAGCAAAAAATGGCAGAGATTGAACAGATGGCCAAAGGACGCGGACTTGCTGGGGTTTTTAATTTCCGAAACACCGAAGAAATCAAGAAGGTGGGGTCAGCAGCTTGATCTGATTATGATACTATAACAAGTAATGCATCTAAATCTAATATTGGTTGATAATTGTTTTTGCTCGTCGTTTGGCTTGAATCTACACACAGGCCATTCTGACCGGCTTGATTTTTCGAAAAAAAAGAAAAAAAAGGGGATGACTTCATTTAACCGAATCAGGAATAATAATAATAATAATCATAGTAATAGTAATGTTTCTTTTTGGTGGCTTGAGCAAAATTGTAATGAGATTTGTCAGAAGTTCTTGAGCAGTTATGCAATATAATTCTCATTTGACCATTTCTGTAATGGCATATTATAATGTCTTAAAAGCATATAATAGAGCTCAGAACACGATTCTTTGTTGGTGTTGTTAGTGGGTTGTGCGCTTTATGCTTTTCTTGCCATGCTCATCCTCTCTTCTCTCTCTCTTTTTTTTTTTTAAATAAATATTAAAATAAATTATGGTTATTAATTGATGGATGTAATACTACAATTTTATTTGCCATAAAAATATATAAAATAAATTTTATTTATAGTAAAACAAATCACGTAAGATATGTCTTTCTATCAACTATGAAATTTACTGGGTAGGAAATGCAACTTCGATAATAACATTTATGAAATATAGCAGAAGAAAATATGAAAAATAAAGAACTTGTGACAAAACTGAAATATAATAGTAAACAGTAATCGATTTCAGAAAAATAAAAAAACAGTTAGACCTCTATAAATAAATACAATTAAAATCAACCAAATTCTATTAATTTTTCGTGAAAATATTAATTTATCGAAATGTGTTTTTAGCATATTGTCCTTGAATCGAGATCCGAGAATTATATAATTTAAACAAAATTACGAAATTATTAATCTATTAATTTATCAATGTGCTACTTGCACTAAAAGGCAAAATCCCTCGCCCGCAGGGGCCCCATCCCTTGGCCCGACAATTATCAATGTGCTACTTAATTATGCAAAAAGTGAATGAAGTAAATGATGAAACGAGTCAACGGTAATTAATCATCAATAAACATGGCACTGTTTGCGCGGAGAATCAATCGCAAATCACAATTATTTTCCTTCACATTTACAGAAATTTTCTTTAAGAAAATAAAAAAACAAAAACAAAAAAAAATAAAAAATCACATAATAAAAAGAAAAGGAGAAAAACCCTTTACCTTACCATTGTCGACACAAAGTCTACCCCTCTCTGTGGCCAAATTGAACAGGTAACCCCACATGCTGCTCCGTTTCGTTTTAGCTTTCGCAGATTTCACTTTTCCTTTTCCGGTATAATTTATCGAAATTGTTGTTGTCGATGTGTTCTTTTCACTGTTGCTTTTGTGTCGTTCTCTCAATTTTGTGACTTCGCTTCAGCCTATTCTGAATCGCCTCCAATTTAGGGTTTGTAATTTTAAATTATGTGAACTCAGTGCTCTTTGTCTGATTTTCTGCGTTGGATTACAAGGTGCTTGTTGCGATTTGTGACTTTTTCTTAAGTTTGGTGATTTTTTTTTTCTCTCTTGTACTTTCGCGATCTTAAAATGTAATCTGAATTTTATGTTCCTTTTGATAGAAGAGTTTATGGTTTCGACAAAATTTCAGTTGCATGTTCATCATATTCTTCTCTCTACTTTTTTGGGGGGTGGAGGTTGAGGATGTTGGTGTTTCTTCATGTTTGTAAGTTGTTTTAATGGGTGTTTTGCTTCTTACTAGCAGCCTCTTCTTGTGAACCGCCGGCCGATTTTTCTGCTATTACTTGGATGATGAAGGGTTCGAAGAGTGGGGCATGCAAATCAGCATCGCACCACCTCTACAAAGACAGAGCAAAGAATCGCGTCGATGATCTCCAGGGCATGTTCAGCGATCTTCAATCAGCCAGGAAAGAGAGCCGCACTATGGATGTATCTGTGCTCGAAGAGCAAGTTAACCAGATGCTTCGCGAATGGAAGTCTGAGCTAAATGAGCCCTCCCCAGCTTCTTCCCTCCAGCAGGTAAATCCTTTTATCACAAGAATGTTCAGATTCACTTTTTCTTGGTGAATTACTGAACCTGAACTATGTAATATGTACTCGGATCTGAACAGCTGAATCTGTTTGCTTACTGGCATGAGGGCAATGGGTTGGCTTTCTTAATATCTAGCTGACTCTGTTAATGTTAATTAACATTCAGCGATTTTAATTAGTAATGTTTATAGCTTGCAAATTCCAGTATTCATGCCATTGTATATCTGCGGGATATCATGGTTTTGTCGTATAATTGGATGGATAATCATTGTATAGGGAGGGAGCCTGGGATTTTCATCTGAGATTCATCGGCTGCTGCATCTTTGTGACGAGGAAGACGATGCAACAAGTGCATTAGCTGCACCAAAACCAGATCCTGATGAGAAAAAGGTTGTGAATGGATCTACTTCGCAAGAGGTTAGTAATTTTGTTTTTATCCAGAGTGGAATGGATATCTATGAATTTTGACATCTAGAAATATTTTTTTCTGCAAGTCAATGACTCGTCTCTGTCTTTTTATTTGTTTGATGGTTGCCACATGGTATTTCTCATTTCAGGCTCTAGGTATTCACTGTGTCTAATTTACTTCTATCTTTTCTGTGGTTAGATTGGAAAGTGGTTTTTCACCATTATATTTCTCTAACAAATCGTCTGTAAACCTTTATTAATAAGGTTTCAAGATTTTATTATTCCATAGACTTGTGTTCTTCTTCTTTTCCAAATTCTTTGCTCTTGAAGTACTATTATTCTGGATCTTCTGTTTATGTTCCAGTGGCAACTTTTAGTGTCCACTGTCCAGTATTGGTTCTGATCTGCAAATCTGGAACCCTGAAGTATTTAACGAATCTATTATAACTGCGGACTTAGCATTGGATTAAGTCACTTAAGATGGGTATTTCTGTAATTAAGGCACAACCACAGGAGTGGTTTCATAATTAAATTTCAGCTGTATTTTATTTTCCTTGTTGTGAATTGGGTCTTTCTTGCCAATTTATCTGTTCTGTTTGTGGCAGGCTTTTAATATGTCCAACGGTCCTCAAGAACAAGGCTTTCATTTGGTTGATCAGTGCAAAAGCTCTGGGATGGGAGTTAACAATATGGGAACAGATAATAATATGAGTCTACCAACACAGTTAGACTATCATTCGTATCATACCAACCAACCTTTCGAACAGCAGTATTACTTCGGGTTTGATGGAACTGAATTAGTCGGAGAGGATGGTTTGCCTCAGAGTACTGGCTATCAACATAATATCTCCCCTCCACCTTCTGCATTTTTAGGGCCAAAATGTGCCCTTTGGGATTGTCCCCGCCCAGCGTTAGGCTTAGACTGGTCACAAAAATCCGACGACTACTGCAGCATTTATCATGCTGGTCTTGCACCAAACGAAGGCTATCCTGGTAGCCCTCCAGTAGTACGTCCCGGAGGCATTGGCTTAAAGGATAATTTACTCTTTGCTGCTCTTGGAGCGAAGGCCCAAGGCAAAGATGTTGGTGTTCCTGAATGTGAAGGTGCTGCAACAGCAAAATCTCCTTGGAATGCACCTGGTAAGTAGTGTTGGTTATCCTCATCAATTTTTGTTTGCTCGTTTTTTATGTTCATGCGTGTATGATTGGGTTGAGCTGAATCTTGAACAGAACTGTTTGATCTTACTGTACTGGACGGTGAGACGATCAGGGAGTGGCTCTTCTTCGACAAGCCTCGCAGAGCGTTCGAGAGTGGGAACAGAAAGCAAAGGTCGCTTCCGGACTATAATGGGAGAGGCTGGCACGAGTCGAGGAAGCAAGTGATGAATGAATTTGGAGGGTTGAAGAGATCCTATTACATGGACCCGCAGCCTATGGAGAATTTCGAATGGCACCTTTATGAATACGAGATTAATCAATACAATGCGTGTGCGTTGTATAGGCTGGAAGTGAAGCGTGTTGATGGGAAGAAGACCCCAAAAGGGAAGTGCAACGATTCTGTTGCTGATTTGCAGAAGCAAATGGGGAGGCTTACTGCTGAGTTTCCGATCGAGAAACAGAAGAACGAGAAACAGAAGAGTGTTAAAGGCAGGGGCAAAAACAACTCAAAGGCTTCTAATAATGCATTAGCGGCAAATCCAGGTAAAGGGGTTGTTGTTGATAATACACCGTGTGATTATCTTGTGGATGATGTCGGCGGATATTACCTAACGTGACCGAGCGGCTAATTGTGGAATAAGAGACTTTTAGTCCATTTGGTATATATATTATTATTATTATTATTATGTCGTCATTGTTCGTATTCCTCGGGGGGGTTCTATAGTATTAGATCCAATGGGGACGGGTTTTGATAATTGATGAATCTAAGTGTTGTGCATAGCTTACTCGTACCATCTTCTTCTTCTCGGAATGTTTTTAACTGGTAGAAGAAGGTGACAAATGCATTAACAACCTTTCTTGTTTTGGTGAATGTGAAGAAAGTGCACTTCTGGTGCCAATTTGCAGGTGGAATTTATTTGTTCTAAGGCTGACTATTTGTAATTATCTCTCACTGATTATGATGTAGATTGCGTATTTATAATTCAAACTTTCCGGTGAGTGTGGCCTCTTACCAACTTCTTTTTTGGTATATTTATCTCTGTATTTTTTCACTGCATGATGATTTGTAATCTCATGTTATTTCTACTGATAATATCTGCAATACATCTCTTTTGTGACCAAACACCAAATTTGTTTTTTTATACATGCACATGAAAAAGAATTATTTATTATTTTTTTGAACAAAAATATTTTTTTCTTTTCAGTTAACTGAAATTAACCTACTATAAAACAACAAGCCCAATAGAAAAATAAAAATAATGTTTGTTTTTGTTTTAGAAAAATACAATTTATATTTCAGTAATCAAATCATATATGAAGAAGAAGAAATGATTTTTGTTGTTATATGTGATACTAGTAACCATGGCCCGTGGGGTTAAATTCAAAATAGAGGAAAGTAATTATTTAATAGTTGACATAAATCTAACTATTGTTATGAGCTTTATTATTGTTATGAGCTTTATTATGTTCAATATTTGTCTTAAGGAATATTATTTAGTTAACCAATGAAAAACTATAAGGAGACAATAAAACTTTAAAGATTCATAATATTCGTCTATTATTAAAAGATAATGATTTTGTAAGCAACACCCCCTTTGATTGTGCTACTTATACCATGCAAATAGTTTTCCAAAATAATTGATCGAGTTATACATAAAAATGTAAACTGTCAAATCAGTAAAAGAGGAGGATCATGAAACTCTAAAAATTCATATCAATAGTCTATTAATAAAAAAATTGTAAAAGTTGGTAGAAAATTTTATGTGTCAGTCTAATTTCAAATAGAAGTGGAATGCATAATATTTGAAAAGTATAGAAAATAATAAAAGAACCAATTCGCATCTAATGTCAAAACATGGCATTGAATTTTAATATAATTCAAACAATTTGTTGATGAGGCAAAATCACACGATCATCATGTTAAGAGAACCTTCGATAAAGCTTTGTTAAAGAAAACAAATAAACATACAATTCATAGAATAGATTATACACATTCACAAACCAAAATGAACTTGTGATAAGTTCAAGAAACTATCTCGTGTATTTTCTGTATTATGGGCAAAACAATTCGATGTATAATTAAGTTTAAATATCTCTATCAAATAAACTTTTAATGGAGAAACCTTACAAATCCATTTTTCTCAAAACATGATTATAATACTTATAACCAACTATTCCCAATGAAATGTACCAATGTACTTGCAGTAATTTCTCTCCGTGTGTATGACTTGGCTTGGAGTTTTCAAAAATTTAAAACAGCAATAGAGGTTTTACCTAACTTTTGCTTCATGCATAAATACAACCATTAGTGCAGAACTACTTGGGTAACCTAGTATCTTTCAAAAAAGTTGGTTACATTCTTAGCTCGGGCTTCAGTTTTCCTTTACTTTTGCATGAATTTCTTTTTCTAAGGAGGCTACTTTGACATCTTTGCTTCTTGTTTTGGGGAAGCACGGAGGAGAATTCTATAACTTCAAATAGCATTTGCGTATCAAATTGTGTCATAAATACAATGGATAGGAATATAAGTAATCTACAGTTCTAATTGATTGTTAAGCAGACCTCTATTAAAATTAGTACACGATCTCAAATCCCATAAAACAAATTTCTTACAATGACGGCAACAAAATTGAGTCTAAAATGACAAAAATCTCATAGCAGAGCAACAATATAGTAATACTCATGGCCCTTGCAACTGCATTGCAGAAATAAGAATATAAATGAAAGCAGTCGTGAAATTTAGACATAAGTTCTATGAATCATTTTTCTTAAGTAGTATGAGTGGAAGTCATTTAGGTCATGTCCAAGGTCCCCTTGCGATGCACGCGACATATACGAAATGCAAGAATCTTGTAGCTCATAATTTATGGAAACAATCACGAATAGGATATCGGAATAAAAATAAAACTTAGTGGCATTATAAAAAAAAGAGTGGTGTTATTTCCACATCCAAAGTATTTCAATTCACCACCAAAAATATATAAAATGTCATAAATACCCTCAAATTTATAATCCACCACCTTTCCTTATATTCGCTTAATCCTCATATGTTCTAATTTATTTATATTTCTAATTTATTTTTTTAACTTTTTAATTTTTTTTTAATTCCTACTCTTTTTTACCTTGGGAAATATTTTTCTCTAACAGAAGCATTATTCACTTGGTGGAAAGGGTGATATTTTGCGTTAAAGATTCCAGTGAAAATGGTGAGGTTTTTTGATATAAATATTTTAATTAATTTAGTGGTGGACGGTTTATAAATTTGTAAAAAATATAGATGAAAATAGAAGAAATGGATAAAATGGGAAATACGTTTAATTTTGTTGTGAAATAAGATATTTTAAGGGTGAAAATAGCATGTCTCGGTTAAATACAGTTTGCACCACTAACTGTACAGGGGGTAAATGCGACAGTGGTCATAGTACATGGGTGCAAATTGTATTTAACCCTAAAAAAAATTAGGAAAAAAATCAGATTTACTCTCAAAATTCGATCAATTAAAACCCTCAAAGCTCAGCCCCAGATTCCAATAAAGGGAGGAGACACGAAAACAAAAAAAAACTTCCGAAAAAAAAAACTCACCCCTGAGGTACCTGGGATCACGAAAGAGGACTTCGGCTATTCAGCCCGACCCCAGATTTGTTTGTATCACATCTCATTTTTCTTATGATTTGAGGGGTAAACATATGAGAGAATTGTTTCTAATCTCTCAGAAATTTTTTAACTGTTGAGTAGACTTGCGTTGCTAAGTGGGAGATTATGTTTCTCCGAGAAAGTGAAAAAACGCTGCTACAACAAAAAACACAGAAATAGTGAGGTAATTTAAATAAATATCTACAAACTTGTTTAATAATAATAACTGAAACACCACCATATAAGGGTAAAAGCAGTTCGATGGGTTCAAACATTTCTACCTAAATCTATATGCACAGCTAACCCCGCTAAATGAATTAGAACTACAGTGCAAATTTGTGAGGAAAAAGAAATACATTTACAGATACGGGTACATTTTTTTGGCCGGTTACATAAAAATGAAAATACAGGAAAAAAAGGAAATTCAAGAGAGTGAGAATAAATTGTATGAATTTCGGACAGAGAAATTGTGAGAATCTCTTGTTACTTTTTCTTCTCGGAGGTTTTTTCGTACTCTTCTGACAAATGGTTGCTCTTTTAATTCAAGATATACCAAATGCCATAAATCTGCAATTTGTTTTTCGAAATGATAATATATGAAATTAGATTAACTCTTTCGACGGATTCCAGATGTGGTTCCGTAGCTTAACAAATTTATTCAAGACAATTGTTGGAGATGCCTGGATTACTACAGACAACAATGACTATAAATATTATTAATTAAAAAAAAAAAGTTGAAAACGCCACCCATTGTATTGAATATGGAGACCAAATTTAAGAAGTTATTACCTTGAGCCTTTACTTTATGATTGTGAGGAGGAGTTTTTGACTTTTTTCTTCTAGTTTAGATGGCGGAATCTTCCAAAAACCTGAAAATTATGGACAAAGGGAAAAAACAAACACCGAATATAATCATACAAAATTACGTACATAATGAGAAAAAGTATTCCAAAGTTGAACCGAGATTCAACTGTTTTCACCTTTGATAAAAAATGTGTGATATGTAATTTTCTTCCTAATTTTCACCTTTAACCGCCTCTGTCATCTTCTTCTTTTTCTCTAGTTTACTCACAAGTCACAACTGTAAATTATTGTAAGAGGATGTTTTTTTTTCTTTTTTTATGTGAGTTTTTTTATGATAAACCAAATGATTAGTGGAGGATGGTAGTAGTAGAGGTGGAAGTATATATTGAATAATCACAAATAATTTATTTATATCGTCGACAGTTTTATTTTAATTAATTTATTTATTATTTATTAACATAATCTATGAGACAATTGGTTAAGAAAACAGAAAACACGAATATTAAATATAATAATGGAATCAATTTTTATTAACGTAATTTATGAGACAATTAAATAAAAAAAAATAAAACACCAAAATTAAAGATAATTATAGAATCAATTTAATCCCTTATTAATAGAATCCACTAACCACTAAAAACTTCACCCGTTTAAAATTCCTTATCTATAGGCAACTACTTTCATTAAAAATTGAAAATAAAAGAAACCTTTAAATTAAAAAAAAAAGACTTTCATTACAATAGAGAAAACCAAAATCACCGAGAAAAGAAAAATTGAAAGTACGAAAAAAAATAAAAAAAATAAACAATTAATCTTATATCTTATATATAAAAGAAAGAAACGCTAGGGCAACCCTGAGAAACCCTAATGTCATATTTGTAATTTATTTATTTTTCGATTTCTATCAAATTTATCTCCTAAATATTATTTTAAATATAATTTTTGATTTTATCAGATTTTTATCTCCTAAATATTATTTTTGATTTGTATTAGATTTTTATCTCCTAAATATTATTTTTGATTTTTATCAATTTTTTATCTCCTAAGTATTATTTTAAATATTATTTTTGATTTGTATCAATTTTTTATCTCCAAAATATTATTTTAATTATTATTTTCAATTTTTAGCAGATTTTTATCTTCTAAATATTATTTTAAATATTATTTTCGATTTTTATCAAATTTTTATCTCCTAAATATTTTTTTCGAATTTTATCAAATTTATATCTCCTAAATATTATTTTAAATATTGTTTTTGAGTATCTTATCTTATCTTATTAATAAAAGTAAGGTTGCTCTGGTGAAACCCTAGGGTTTTTTTTCCTGCTCATTTTCGGGGTACAACTGTCATTTGGGCAACCCTGAGAAACCCTAATGTCATATTTGTAATTTATTTATTTTTCGATTTCTATCAAATTTATCTCCTAAATATTATTTTAAATATAATTTTTGATTTTATCAGATTTTTATCTCCTAAATATTATTTTTGATTTGTATTAGATTTTTATCTCCTAAATATTATTTTCGATTTTTATCAATTTTTTATCTCCTAAGTATTATTTTAAATATTATTTTTGATTTGTATCAATTTTTTATCTCCAAAATATTATTTTAATTATTATTTTCGAATTTTATCAAATTTATATCTCCTAAATATAATTTTAAATATTATTTTCAATTTTTAGCAGATTTTTATCTTCTAAATATTATTTTAAATATTATTTTCGATTTTTATCTCCTAAATATTTTTTTCGAATTTTATCAAATTTATATCTCCTAAATATTATTTTAAATATTGTTTTTGAGTATCTTATCTTATCTTATTAATAAAAGTAAGGTTGCTCTGGTGAAACCCTAGGGTTTTTTTTCCCGCTCATTTTCGGGGTACAACTGTCATTTATTTAATAAATTATTTTATGGGGTTTATTTGGCTTATTAAATTCAATTATACTGGATTTTTTGTTGGACCTTGATTATCAGCGTATTTTCCTCTCACTTCTTAAGATTACGCATCCTCTTCATTCCCTAATTGATCGTATTTTCCTCTCACTTCTTAAGATTACGCATCCTCTTCATTCCCTAATTGATCGGATTTAATTCGATCCCAAATAATACGGTCCTAGATTAACGAATTCTCCAAAATAGGGCTGAAAATCATATCTTTTTGAAAAAAAGGCGGTGACTGCTTCTCTAAAAACCCTAGATATCATTTGTTGAATAATATTTTTTTGAAAAAGCACAGGATTAGATGGTGGTTCCACCAAAAAAAAAACTATATATCATTTGTTGAGCTTTATGTTGATCTCCATTCAAAAACCAACCATCTCCAACCGTATATGTTATGTGTTGTTCTGATAATTTATGCTTTTCCCTTTGCTGATATTCTTAACAGAGTTAAAAACGTCTACCTATTTTATTTAATTTATTTTTTTTGTTTTTGTTTAATCTCCATCTGCATAATCCGAGTTTTGTTCTTTTGCAGGGACTGCGGTGAATCCTTGGCCGTATTTTTTTCAGGTTTTACCAGGGTACTTTTACGTATTATATATGGTAAGTTTTTATTTTATTAATTCTCAGTTACGTTTTTTTCAGTCATGGATTGCTTTTTGAAAAATAGTCGACATTTAAAATTTCGATGTTTTTTTCCTTACAAGTTTCACAAACATGAAGCAACGTTATAGCATTATTGTTTTTTTGGGAAAAAAATCGATAATTTTATTAAGAATATTACTATCGAGTCTCGCTGCATGCATTTTCTCTCTCTGAAATATGTTCACATCTTTAAATTGTTCATTTTAAAATTTACATTTCTTTCTTCACAACAATGGCGCTACATTTTTTAAGGAGGTGGAAATGGGGTAGTAGATAATTCATTAATGTTGGGTTTGATCTACTTCTTCCATTAGTGAGTTTTCGATGGATATGTTGGAAAATGAATTCTCTTTTCGTTGTTTCTTTGATTTTTTTCTGTTATATATATCGAAGAAATTTCGTATTATTTTCATTATGTGTGACCTGAATAATTAATTTAAGTTTTCCACTACTGAAACAAAATCTTTTCATATATTATGGGCATGAGCAGCACATTATACATTAACTTTCTCTAATGAATTTTTAGTGTGTGAGAAATGAATATTGTCTAACAAACGTAGATCAGTGTAGTATCTAATGTCAACGGAGGAATAGAAAGAGTGGCATATAGTTTATCAATGTTGAAAGAATCGATCGGTCACAAGAAACTTGAAGTCGCTGAATGTGATTTATCAGGTTTTTTGGTCAATTTCTGTTTTGTGGATATAAATAAATATGCATCAATGCATGCCTCAACAAACTGTTCTTTATTGAAATGTTGGACATATATGTTAACTTATTAAGTATATTACACGTCTCAAGAAACAAAGGTTGTGGTACAAGATGAATGTAGTGGTTTCTATTGGTTTTATTTGTAGTGGAGAATGTATCAATGAAAGATAATAGAATAAAAGCCTCTGTTATTTACATTACTACGTGATTTTTTGTTTTATTTTATTTAATTTAATTTAATTTTCTATTTGTTTTATGTTCGAGTGATTTTTACGTTTTAATTTGAAAGTAGAAAACAACATTGAAAATTGAATTTTTATTATGCATTAATTTTTTCAAACCCCGTGCATCGCACGGGTCAGATTACTAGTATAAGGAAAAGGAAAACAAACTGTCAAAATAGAAATGTCTAAAATACCCCTAAGTTTAGGTTTAGGGTTATAGTTCAAAATGTCTTCCTTTTATATATAAGATAAATTGGAGTTGTGCTAGATGCGATTTTCCTTTTAAACCCCTGTCACTGTTTTTGTAGCTTTAACTCATAAACCCTAGCTTCCATCACCGAGCTGTAATAGCTATGGCGTTCGCTCCCTCACGCTCTCTCCTCTTCCCTCTATTTCCTTCTTCTTCCTCTTTTCCATTTAAACCATCTGCGATATCATTCCCCAAATTACCCCTCTGTCCGTCAACAAATCCCTGCTCCCCTCTTTCGTCCGCTTCCTCCTCCCACAACCAATCGCCGTCACCATTCACTTCCGAGCAAGCCGTTCTCGACGCTGTAGCCGATTCCGACGCTACTCAAAACTTTCTTCCGGCCGTCAGGACTTACGAAAACGATTTGGCTCGACTCACCCTCGTTGGCAACGTCGATATTCAGCAAGCCATTACCGCTGCCGCCGCAGACGGCGGGGAGGCCGCCGATGAGCATTTATCTTCTGGTATCGCCGCCATGGTCGTGGAGACCATATTTCCTGGCTCCGCCGACGACCACAGCACCGTTTCCACCCGATTAGTAAGTCAGCAGTTTCTGTTTACGCATATGGATTATCTAATTAGATATGGTTTAACTTGTGACACCATTATATGAAACTCCAAGTCGAGATTTGTATAACTGTGGTGATTGCCGAAGTAGGAATTGATTTTCTTATTTTATCAGTTTTTACCTGCTAGGAAAGTTAAAGAGAAAGCTGTAAAGCTCAAGAAATCGCTGACGAAAGATATGTTACAAGGCACCATGTCAAAGAATATACTTGCCATGACCTTTAGACAAGTAGTTTTGCGCCAGCTTTGGAGTCTCGAACTGGCGATTTTTAGACCTGGAACTGAAAGAAATATGGATAGTCTCGAAGATCCTAGAGAGGTAAGATCTATGTGATGTTCTTTACACCTTGCTGCATTTCGCTGCTTCTGTTTTGCCTCTTGTAATTTCATATTAAATATTTCTGTTCTGCAGGTGATGTGTTACTTATTCCATTTCCTATCAGCAGGTACCTGCATTGTTAACCCTCAGCTCGTCAGATGGAAGAGTCGTTTCTGAAATTGCAGAGGTTGCTTGCTTTGCTGCCCTTGAGAACACTGGAAAACATTTTCTTCGTGATTCTATGGACATAGCATCTAACAGGTTCTTCAGTTGGCTTAAGAAGCCTAAACAGATTTCATCTAGAGATTCTTCTGTTTTCCTCTATGACTTCCTTGAAAACGAGGTACTTGCTAATGCCGAGATACTGCTCGAGAAATTCAACTTGGAAAGAGGAAAAAACAAGTTCAAGGTTACAAAATTGAAGAAGAGTTGGTGGACATCGCCTGCATTTTCGAAATTGGAGAAGATTGGCGGTCCTGAGTTTTGTGCTTGGATAAGTGAATGTGTACCTTCGTACATGTTGCAAATTGACGCTAGTAAACTTAGTGATTTGAAGTTTGAAGGGTGGAAAAAATTGGAGGCGGATCGATTAGAAGTTGTTCTTACTCATTCACAAATGGTAAGTAGTGTCCCTTTCTGAGTTTAGTTGCTTATGTGAGCTATATGTGAGCTTATTCATTTAGCTTGAATCATTTGAGTGACTTGTGTTTGCAATATATGAGTTTAGTTTTTGTTTTACAGCATTGATGTTTAGTGTAGATGCTAAAAAATTAACTAGTTTCGTCATAATCATTCAGATAATGCAATCATCATAACCAAAAAACTTTGCCAGGCTAAACGTATGTTTCACTCATTTTATTTATGCCTGGATCCATCCATTATATACACTTTTCAGTTAACTTGAAATATATATTTATCAATCGTAGTGTTTCTACTTCACATGAGATTGCAAGTGTAATATAAGCTTTTAGGCTGGGACAGGCATTCTTCTATTTGAAGTTTGAATTACATAGTCGGTGTATCAATATGTTCTTATTGCTATTTTCAATTAATTTTAGAAAGCGAGTCTGCGTCACACTCTGTAATTGCAATTTTCTGCAGGTTAGTTTGGCTGACATTCTAGATATGTACTACGAGGATGTTTTCACACTGCCTAATAAGAGACTTTCAGCCGCAACATCATCCGACTTGAAACTCAATAAGGTATCTTTTCATATTTTCTAAATGTGACACCACATTATACACAATCTGTTCTTTATTATGTACTATGTAGTAGTATTTCTTGCTATCTGCAGTATTCTGTCAGCATGTCATGCCAAATTATATTTTTCTTTTCAGGGCAGTTCTTTCTTGAAGACTTTGTCAGTTGTACTTGTCAGTGGGATTTTTCTAGTGACCGTTGGTGTTATGAGAAAACTTTATATGCCTCACCTGCCTCTCAGAAAAACTTATATTCAAGAAAACTCTCAAGAGACATTGTCTGACTTTAGATGTGTTGCGCTCGATTCTGTGGAATTCTCCGAGGTATGCGGTCTTAATGTTTCTTTATCTAGAAACAAGTCATAACATAGTGCTAATGTGACATTTTCTTTGTTGTTTTAGAGATCTATGAGTGGTTCTTGAAGATTGTGCTTTTTCAATGTATGAGTCATGAGTGCTGTCTCTTGCAATTATAAAATTTTCTATTTGTTCCTTATTTCAGCATAGACGATGCTTATTTAGTATGTGTTAAATCTCATATACTAGCTCTAAGAATAAACTGTATTTCTGGTCGGGTAGTTGAAAGTCTACGAGCTCAAATCTAATTTAGAGTAAATAATTTGGTCTGGTTATGGTTAGTCCATAGTCGTTGTTCGCATAGGCTTTATGTAGCTTATGGAAGCTTTTATTGTTAACCTTTTCTAGATCCCATCTGATCTTTGCTCAACATTTATTTAGTTGGAAACGTGCTGTGTCTCGATAATTGAAAGAATCAAGGATTCTTTTGGCTGGCCTGGAGAAATAAGCAAAAAAACTGGACGATGTGCATGGATTGGAGAACTGCCTAAATTTCTGAAAAAATTGGACGATGATGACTCCAACTTGCTCGACATTTCTTCCACTTCTATACCATTAGAAGCAAGTGAAGAAGAGATGAAAGCATTAGAAGATATTGCTAGCTATCAGGTACTCTTTCAAACTATTCTCGATTTTCTGTTTGTGAAAGCAAGTCCTAAAAAGATGATATTCTAGAACACTGTTGAAAAAGATAGGTATATAGTTGCTTATAAGATGTAACTAATATCGAATGTTCTTTTTCTCTCGACTGTGCTGAGAAGGTGGTGGTGTCAAGTGATTGGAATATCATAGGGTTTCAACCTACTAATCGAGTTGCTGTCAATAACTGGGCAGCAAACCCATTATCCAAAGATTTGTACCGTGGAAAAAAACTCTCTCCTGGTATGTTCCATAGATTGACTACCCATTAATTTTCATAATCGAACGATTTGACTTTTGTTTAATGATGTTCGAAAACCTTTATGCAGGTTTATTAGAACCCGGTCTCAAGATCAGTTATCCGAGTGGTGTGGTGGTATTGGAGCTGCTGATGTCAACAAATCCCGACTCCAGCTTTGCAATGGTTAAGGCTGTTGATATTACTGGAAACAAGTCGTGAGCACTGCAGTTTTTCTGGTTGCTGAAAATGTTAGTAAACCCCGTTACCTTGCATATGTAGATTTTTATTTTCATTCTTTTTTTCTGTGGATAGAACACCCATTAGAGACACCCACGCAAGGTGGTCAACAAGTTCTCTTGTGTGGTCTTCCACACTTGTTTCATGATTTACCTGAATACTCTCTTATGATTCTTTTAGTGATTTACCTGAAATTTCTCACCTATTCGCCACTCGTTTATGCCGTATTTCTCTTACACGCCCTTTTCATTTTGTTTGGCTTTCCACATTAAAAACTGAATCAATTTTTTTTTTCTTGAGCCAAATCTCAGTTGTCATTTTGTTTTTTGCTAGAAATATTATGAGCGAAAAGACCTTTAGAATTGTTATGTATCCATGGTTAGCCATTGGCCATCTCACCTCGTTCCTCCACATCTCCAATAAACTTGCAGAGAGAGGCCATAGAATCTTCCTCATCCTCCCATTAAACACCCAATCAAAGCTGCAACAATTCAATCTTCACCCAAATCTCATAACCTTCAACCCTATAACAGTCCCACAAGTCGAAAACCTCCCTAACGGAACAGAAACTACATCAGATGTTCCTTTTCCTCTGTACAAAAACCTACGCCACGCAATGGATCTCACAAAACCAGCCATTACACATCTTCTTCAAGAACTCGAACCAGATTTTGTGTTGTTCGATTTTGCCCACTGGCTGCCTGCAGTGGCCCGAAGCTTAGGCATTAAATCCATTTATTACTGCACCATAAGCCCTGCAGCTGTGGGGTACCTCGTCCGCGAGGAATCTTCTGCAGATGCTTTCGTGGAACCGCCACCTGGATTTCCGTCACGGGGAATATTCAAGCTTTACAGACACGAAGCGCGTGCTATCGAAAGGATTAACAATGAAATGGAATTCGAGAATAGCATTAACTTCGTGCAGCGCATGCTTATTGCTGCTGGTGAGTGTGATGCAATAGGATTCAAATCTTGCAGAGAAATGGAAGGTACGTACTGTGAATTTCTCGAAAAGAAATTCAAGAAACCGATTATTCTTGCGGGCCCGGTTTTACATAAGGCCCCGATTTCGACTCTAGACGAGAAGTGGGCTAGTTGGCTGAGTCGATTCGAAGCGAGATCCGTTATTTACTGTGCATTCGGTAGTGAAGCTAGGCTAGAAAAGGGTCAATTTCAAGAATTACTGTTGGGTTTAGAGCTGACAGGCCTTCCATTTTTTGCCGCCTTAAAACCGCCGAGAGGGGTGGAGACGGTGGAGGAGGCTTTGCCACGTGGGTTCGCAGATAGAACTCTGGGGAGAGGGGTGGTGCATGGGGGTTGGGTGCAACAGCAGTTGATGTTATCGCACCCTTCTGTGGGGTGCTTTGTGACACACTGTGGGTCGGGTTCATTGTCGGAGGCTATGGTGAATGAGTGCCGGTTGGTGCTAATCCCACATGCGGGTGACCAAATCATCAATGCGAGGTTGATGGCGGGAGATTTGAAAGTTGGGGTGGAGGTCGAGAGAGGAGATGAAGATGGGTTGTTTAGTAAAGAAGGTGTGATGAAAGCAGTGAAGTTGGTGATGGAAGGTGACTGTGAGGTTGGAAAAGAAATTGGAGAAAACCATGCAAAATGGAGGGATTTCTTGTTGGGAGAAGGGCTTGAGGATTCTTACATTGATGGTTTTATTGATAATCTACTTGGCCTCTTGTAATAATAATATTTCATTTTCAATTATATGTGTATACATATATATATATATATTCACTATTATATGATGATGAAATCATGAAAATACTGTTTTGACAACACATGGTGCCGACTGCCACGTGTCATGCAGCAGGATATCCTAAAAAAGTGACTTCTCAGAGCTTCATTCCCTGCATTCTCTCTCTCTCTAGAAAAGAGGTTCAAGTTTGCAGGTTCTTTGAATACTCCGGTGAAAATGGCGGACACTGCTAATAAACTTACCATATTCATGTACCCATGGTTTGCGATGGGCCATATCACTCCTTACCTCCTGACCGCCAACAAACTCGCCGAGAGGGGCCACAAAATAACCCTAGTTATCCCTCCTAAAGCCCAATCCAAACTGGGCCAACTCAATCTCCACCCTGATCTCGTCCACCTCCGCCCCATTTCCATCCCCAAAGTCGAAGGCCTGCCGGCCCACATCGAAACCAGCAACGACGCCACCGTGCTCGAGCAACAGCTTCTCCGCCACGCCCTAGATCTCACGGCACCCACCGTCAAATCTCTGCTCTGCGATGTGAAGCCCGATTTGGTTATCTCCGACTTCGCCTACTGGCTGCCGGGCCTGGCGCGCCGCATGCAGATCAAGTCCGTCCACTTCAGCGCTGTCAGCCCCGCGGCGATGGGTTTCATGTTCACCGGAGGCACTTCGCCGACCGAGGATGATCTTCATTTTCCGCTGTCGATCAAGCTGTACAAACACACGGCACGCGATCTGGAGTGGTTCAAGACGGCAAAGGAAATGGGCAGCGGGATAACGATGGAGCAACGCTTGACCACCGCAATTTCCGAGAGCGACGCGGTTTGCTTCAAGACGTGCAGTGAAATTGAAGGAGCCTATGTTCGATTTCTCGAAAACAAGCTCAAGAAACCAATCCTACTAACAGGCCCATTGTTACCAAACCCGCAATCTTCTTCAACCGACCTAGACGAGAAATGGGCTAATTGGCTCAACAAATTCACGCCCAAAACCGTGATCTTCTGCGCTTTCGGCAGCGAAGCCGTACTAAGCAAGGAACAATTTCAAGAACTGATGCTGGGTTTGGAGCTAACAGGGTTCCCTTTCTTGATTGCTCTAAGGCCACCTGTTGGATTCGACACTATAGAAGAAGCTTTGCCTAATGGATTTACAGAGAGGGTTCGAGAGAGGGGGTTTGTTCATGGTGGGTGGGTCCCACAGCAGCTGATCTTGAAACACACAGCGGTGGGGTGTTTTGTGACACATTGTGGGTACGGGTCAATGTGGGAGGGGCTGATGAGCGAGTGTCGATTGGTGGCGCTGCCACACGTGGCGGATCAGTATGTGCAGGCGAGGCTTTTGAGTGGGGTTCTAAAGGTTGCGGTGGAGGTGGAGAAAGGGGATGAAGACGGGCTGTTTACTAAGGAAGGTGTTTGCGGTGCTGTAATGGCGGCTATGGCGGAGGAAAGTGGTGTCGGGGAAGAGGTGGTGGTGAATCATGAGAAATGGCGGGGGATTTTGGGGAGTGAGGGGTTTCAGGATTCTTATTTTGATGCTTTTGTTGAGAACCTTCGGAAACTTCTCGATTAAATTTTAGTGTCTCGATGAAAATCCGGGCTCCGCTAGTGTTCGCTGATAAGTACTTTCTAATTGTAAGAAGAAATAAAAGAACACGAACTCGTTGCATTTGAACTAATTCGTTGCATTTGAACTAATTGTGAGTGATAAAAGAACAACAAAAGATAAATGTACCGTGAATTGTAGACACTATTGTGTATAATGTTATCACTAGTATGCAACTCTCATGGTTAATAAATTTTCATTTTGGGTTTTAAGCTTATCGATTTAATTCTTGAAGAAAATACGATTTTTCAACTTCCATCGATTTTCTTCGATTCATTACGTTTTTATACGATTTTAGTGGACTTTTTAGTTTTTATGATCCAAATCATTACTTGTTTGTTATTTTAAAATTATTTTTAGCATATATTTTGAAATAAAAGTAAATTACTGAAGATAGTTATTAGAATTAAATTTAATAGAAACATAAGTACATTTGAAATAGGAATCTATATATATAAAAGTTGAATTCCACACCTAATTGATTGACATTTGTCAATTTCAATTGGTGACATGTATTCAATTGCATCCCACGTGGCAAATTGATTGGTGAAAATAAATCATCAAAAAACATGTCACCATTTTCCAAATTAAAAAGATATTTAATTGTTTTATTATATATTTATATCATACCATTTATAAAATGCTCTAAATATATCAACTTTCTTGAAAACTCTAAATAGTTTTATTTTTTAATTTAATTTTAATAGTAATTAATTTAATTTAAATTTATTTAAATTCAATTTAAAATCTTCACTTATTATAATTGTATGATTGACGGTGTTACGAAAATTTTGTATTTTAATTCATAAACTTGGATTTATATAAAAAAAATATTGCAGAATAAATCATTTGATATTATACATTTTACATGAACATGACCAGAGAATATGTTTATCTTTTTTTACTAATTTAATATTATATTCGTAATTACCATGATGTTTGTTTTCGTCTTACATCGACACCCTTACGGTATGATTTTTCACGGATTTTTTTTATTACGTGGAATATTCCCCGAAAAATGCAGATTCTACCATGCACACGACATTTGTTTATGGCACTTTTTTAAGACAAAAATTACCCTGAGGGGGACTTTACACGAAATATTTATTCTTCTTAAATAACATTTTCACAACTTTTTAGTATTACTATTACCTCCCCTAAGGGTATTTTTTGTATTTAAAAAGTAAGATAAAAGAAATGTCATGTCTGCAAGGGTAGAATCCACAATTTTTCGTATATTACGTGGAATAAAAAAGATTCCGTACAAAATCACACCATAAGGGGGTCGTGTAAGACATAAACAAACATCTGGGGGATTTTGGTAATTACCGATAAGTGGGGGTGATTTCCGTAATTTAGCCTAAGTTCATGAGGATTTTCGTAATTTATATCCTATTAACAACGATTATCGTTATTTTCACGTCTTAACGTTTGCTTATACCCTTATATTATTTTAACTAATTTTAATGTCAGTTTGATAATATAATTAAATATTAATTTCTAATATATTTAATATGTGTTTCTTGATGTTTCAGGTACCACACATAAGGAATTTGATATAAAAGTTGCGAGATTGAATATAATTTGTTTTTGATACAAAATAATAGATAATTGCAAAAACATTGATGCAAAATCATAATTAGGATTGTGATTAATATTAGCATTAGAATTATGATTATAATTAATATTCTTTGAATTAGTATTAGTATTAATACTAGGATTAGGATTCGGATTAATATAGTATTATAATTAATATTAGGATTATGATTATGATTAATATTAGTATTAGAATTATAATTAAGATTATGATTATTGATTTGTACTACAATTAGTGACATGTATTAGTATTATGGTTACGATTAGCATTAAAATTAGGATTATGGTTAGAATTATAATTAGAATTAACATTAGCATAGCATTAGTATTATTAGTAGAAAAATTAGTAGGATTATAATTAATGTTAAAAATAGGTTTAGGATTAGAATTATGATTAGGATTAGAATCATGATTAGTGTTATGAATAGGATTAGGAATATGATAAGGATTTGGATAATATTAGTATTACAATTATATTCAGCATAAGCAACATATCCTGATTAACATTAACATTAAAATTAGTATTAGCATTAGAATATGTACATTAGCATTAACATTAACAATATTAACATATTAGTATTAAAAATAGTATTAATATTAGTATTAGTATTAGTATTAATATTAGGATTAATAATAGTATTAGTAATAGTATTAGTATTAATATTAGTATTAATATTAGTGTTCACATTAGTTTTAGTATTAATACACTACCAAAAAACAGGGCTTTTGTGACAGACATTTTCGTAACAAAATTGAATAAAATCAGTCACAAGTAAGCTTTTGTGACGGCGTTGTAACTGAATCGGTTTGTCAGAAAAACCCTCGTCACAAATGACATTGGTGACGGATATTTTAATTCCGTCACATCCGTTATCACGGATAGCATCGTCACGAAGCACAATTAATTCCGTCACTGATACCATATACAAGGTCTCTAAACGTTTTGACGGATTCCGTCACAACAAATTATTGTTGTCATCCATCCGTCAATGTTTAGGCCATAATTTTCCATAAACTCTGTGACGGATTCCGTCACTAACAATTTTTTTCCGTCCAAACTCCGTCATTCATGGTTGTGACGGAGTCCGTCACAAACAATTTATAATGTCAGTATTCCGTCAGTAAGTATCAAAATATTTTTCGTAAATTCGGTGACGGATGCCGTCACCAACAAAGATATTCTGTCCATAATCTGTCACTACTCAATAAACATTTTCCGTCATGTTTACGTCATAAATAGTGTCACAATACTTTGTGACTAACTCGTCGTCACACACTATCCGTCACAATGTCTGTCGCCAACCTCCGTCACAACATAGCCGTCACAAACTATATATCCGTCATATAATATTGGTCACAAATCTCCGTCACCAAAGTACGTCACAGTACTTCCGTCAATCATCAGTCACAAATCCTTAATAATTGAAAATTATAATCCATCATAAGAATGTCACATTTTCGTCACAAATTATTAATGCAGTAATTATATTTTATTAAAATTTATATATTAATTTCTTAACCTGCTAATTAAATATTCTAAAATTTTCATAAATCTCCAAAATCAATAAATATTTTAAACATAACGTACATAAACATTCATAACTTTAATAAAAAAACAATAAATCCCGGCAAGGGCTTAAATCTCAATCAATCCACCAACTCATAAACGTCGAAAATATATGAAATCATATCGAAAGAACGCTCAAAAGATCACAATAAGTACGTAGCGATATCATAATGTGACTATTTCCTTTACAAGTATTGATTTTCTCACATCTTATTTCACCATAGTATTTGTCGTTTTATCAGTATCCCATCGCTCTAACCTTTTGATGTACCATTTCCCTAGCGGCTGAAATCCTGCGAATAATCACATGAAAAATAATCAAATTGAATCAATCAAATACAACGTGTTTGTGTGTATCGTGTAAACATCAAAATATATTAAAAAAAATCATGCAGTACTTTAGATATATACTCTACCACACTATAACAAAAATATTAATGAAGGTGACAATATCAAACAATGCTTGGATAAACATTGAGAATACACAAACTATGAAATATACCTCATCGTCGGTACCACTGGAATCATAGTGTTGTTGATCTTTGTCGTTTTCGGAAATTAAGTCTTCAAATTCTTCGTCTTCTTCCTCTGTTTCATGCTCAATTTCGATATTTTTTCTTAAGGCCATCGAGTCATCTATAACTTCACTAGGGAGTATTTCTATTGGATTTGCAGTATTATCCACTAAAATATGTGATACCTCTAAATCACATGTAATAGGAATTTCATGCGGAGATGGCAATGGTTGCTCGAATAATTCTACTGACCAAAATATGAGAGTAAAATCTAAGGCTAGTGAAGTGGAATCCGTCAAGACAAACTGTAGCAAAGTTGAGTTTACCTGTGTTCAACCCAGTGATCGATCAAATACTTGCAGCATAAATGCGATTCACATATCAAAAAGGCTGAAATCATAAAAGCACATACATAATACAAATTGACAGAACAAGGACATAAATCAATTTTCAAAACATAGAAGTTTCGCAAGATAGACATATAGTTGGAAGTTTTCTATTACACGAATTATAATTTTATCAATTCAAAAACATCACAAATCTGCAAATTGACATTTTATAATTGGGTTAAGTAATTGAAACCTTGATGCAATCGCCAAAAATTGATCCGTTGTTGTGTTTTTATCTACCGGTAGAAAATCAATTACGCTCGAATGTTGTCGTCGGCGCTACGATGTTGTCTAATCGTTGAAATCTTTCACCGTAGAAATCAATTGATCCGTTGTTGTGTTCTTACCCCAATTATGACGCCGCTGATTAGATTCTGAATCTTTCACCGTAGAAATCGACACTCAAACCACCGATGCTTCTGAATCTTTGTTTCACGGGGTTGGGTGGAAAAAAGTGAAGGAACTAGGTTACGGGGCTGTAACAATCGACGAGAGTTGGGTTGAGAAAAAGAAGACTCTGTTTCTATCTATGTTAATATCCACCGTGGAATGTTCTGAGGGCCGTGTGACTCTTCTGTTGGCCGTGTGACTCTTCCTCTTCTCTTCTTTTATTTTTTCTTTTCCGCCGTCATATTAAAATTGATTTTCTTTTCCTTTTCAACTAATGTTAGAAGATTAGGTTTTGTAATATCTATTTAGGAATTTACTAATATTTTTCTTCTTATATATATATATATATATATATAATTTGAGTTGGTGCGTCTAGCTCTACTCAATATAACAATCAATAATATACATGAATATAATAGTGTGGGGACCTTGTTTTGATTTAATTTGAAAAGACCCAATATATTAATCTAAATTGTTTTTTCTCTCATGCTTAGGCACTTTTCCACCTCTCTTATTCTTATTTCTTCATATTCTATGTAAGTGTGTATATATCCTTAATCATTTTTTCATTAATATTTTTTTTTAGTTATTGAGATAAATTAAATACTGGTGAATTGGATTCGATTTATATAGATATATCTATTTTTTCCAATAAAGTGAATTTATTTTTTCAATAATTATGGGTGGAAACTAAAAAGCAATTTTAGAATTTATTGACAAACAAACCTAACATATATTAAATTGGATGGGTTATACTTTCATTATCACTTAATTTATCAATGTTGTAGGAGAAATATAATGCGATGGAGTTGTGATGAAAATGCGTTGGTGATGGATCAATGACGAACCTTCATTTGTGACAGATCTATGACACGAATTACATGTGACAGATTCGTGATAAAAAAAGTTAGTGACGGATGTGTGGCGGATTATGAATTTTACGGATCTGTGACCGTCTTATATTTGACAGATTTGTGATAACATTGAGGCAGTGATGGGTCAGTGACGGCATTTACATTGTAACGGATCTATGACCGAATGATGGTGACGGAGTAGTGATGGGAATGAATGTGTGACGGACTGGTGACAGAAGTAAATCGGATTTTCGTTTCCATAACATAATTGTTACCGATTGATGACAAAATCAATTTCCGTCATACATATTGTGACTACAAGGTGACTGAAGTTGTACCGTCACAACTTCCGTCAAGAAATTCATCACATATCTGTCTTAAACAAATTTTATTTTTCTCAATCATAAACGGTCACAAATGTGTCAAGAATTTTGTCACTCGTGGTGACGGCTTGGGTGGGTCACAAAATTTCCGTTACAAAAGCCATGTTTTTTGGTAGTGATATTAATATTAGTCTAAATATCAGTATCAATATCAGTATCGGTATCATTATTAGTATTCGTATTCGTATCAGTATCAGTATTAACATCAGTATCAGTATCAACATTTGTATCAATATCAGTATCAATTAAATATCAGTATCAATATCAATATTAGTATCACTATCAGTATCAGTATTAGTATCAATATCAATATCAATATTAGTATCAGTATTAGTATGAGTATCACTATGACTGTGAGTATCAGTATGAGTATGAGTATCAATATTAGTATGAATATCAATATTAGTATGAGTATTAGTATGAGTATCAATATTAGTATTAGTATTACTATGAGTATCAGTATGAGTATCGGTATTAGTATCAGTATCAGAATTATTATTGTTATTAGTATCAGTATTAGTCTTAATATTAGTATTAGTATTACTATCAGTATCAATATCACTATTCGTATCACTATAAATATCAGTATTATTATTAGTATTAGTATCAGTAATAGTCTTATTCTTAGTATTAATATTAGTATTAGTATCAGTATCAATATAACTATCATTATCAATGTAAGTATCAATATTATTATTAGTATTAGTATCAATATTATTCTTATTCTTAGTATTAGTATTATTATCAATATCAATATTAGTATTAGTATTAGTTTTATTATTAGTATTTGTATTAGTATTGGTACGAGTATGTGTATTAGTATTAGTATCAGTATTATTATTAGTATCAGTATTAGTATTAATATTTGTATTAGTATCAGTATTAATATTAATATTAGTATTAGTATTAGTATTAATATTAGTATTAATACGAATATTAGTACCAATATTAGTACCAATATTAGTATTAGAATCACTATTAGTATTAACATTAGTATTAGTATTAGTATTAGTATTAATATTAGTATTAATATCAGTATTAGTATGAGTACCAGTATAAATCGAATTAGTATCACTATTGGTAACAATATTTGTATTAGTATTGGTATCCGTATTGGTATCAACATTGGTATCAGTACTGGTAGTGGCGTATACATCATATCTCTTTTGCAATATTTATAAGTTTTATTGTTGTTTGAGTAATGTGCATCACTAATTGAACGCCATTAGTGATAAACTTGCAGCTTATTTGAATATCTATTGTGTTACTTCTCTGCTACCGTGTTTGTTGTTACCTTAGTTATTTTGCAGAAGACTCAAATGGTGTAGTAGATTGCAATCCAAGAAATAGAGTTATACCATATGTTTTAAATGATTTCATTTAATCTTGATATCGTGTTTTGCGCGCCTCATGTTTTCTTATTTGTAATATTTAACTTAATTTCATATGTTACAACTCTAAATTAAGAGATAAAGTTTATGTTTTTTATTTTCTTCCATAAGTTTATTTTTCTCATTTTAAAACTCACCTCCGTGCAACGCACGGGTGAAATACTAGTTTTATAATTAAAAAAAAATCAATTTAAGCGCTGTTAATTAAAATCACAATTTCAGTATAAAACTCTTGCGATTCACTATTTTGTAATTTAAGAAAAGAACTAGTAATTGTTACATTATTTTGATGTTGTAAGAATATAAACAAACGTTTGATGTATCGTATGATCAAAATATTGTTATAATCATTCATTAATAATTCATCAGTGGAACATTACAAAGTATACTACACAAAAAAAAAAAAAAAAAAACAAATAACTTTACTTTTGAATAATTTTCCAAATAACTTGAATCAACTAATATCATTAGATTGAAAAATTGAACCAAAAACAAAATCATCAACGTAACTATGTCTTTCATGTTGAGTTTAAAAGTAATTAGTTTGGATAACTTACCTTAACCTAATCAAAACTAAACTATCGACAACATACCAACGTAAAAGGCCATCTATACATCTTGCATCATAATTAAGCCATTATTTACTGCCTTGTTTTGGTCCTGTTTTGTCACTGGAATTAACAATTATATTGGAAAATTAAGAAACAAAAATAAATATAAACAATAAATTAAATATCCATACAAACAATATGTCTTGAAGGCGACTTCCAATAGTTTGTGGCCCCACCCATTTTTTCTTAGTTCTCTCCAATCATCAATTTCTATAACATGTCCAATAACATCTAAAAGGAAATAATTTTTATACACAAAATTTAAAATCTTTGGTATAAATTAATGAAACACATAATTTAACAAAATGAAATTACCTATAAGCCATGATTGAAAAAGATGCAAACTAATTACCACACAGTCAATAGGATGAAGAAGAAAATAAGACAAAAATTCTAACGTCGGGTTACCAAAAGAAGAAGCCTTAGGTAAGATGAATAAATAAAATTAAAATGTTACAGAGGTGGATATAAATAAGAAGAGCAAACACAAACGTGCTGAAGTAGAATAGAGAAGTTGAAAGTGTTAAGAGTCTTAAGGGAAGTCTTTGGGAATCGTCCACCTTTGGGAATACGATAATTAGTATTTTATCATCAAAAAATAATATTTAGTGTTCAGATGTTTATGGCTGAAAATTAGGAGATAAAATAATATTTAGGAGATTTAATTGTTTGTGCATTAGAGATATCTATGGCTGAAAATATGAGTGATTTGGCTGGTTCGGGCATAAAAAATTGATAAAAATCGAAAATAATATTTAGGAGATAAAAATTTGATGAAAATCGAAAATAATATTTAAAATAAATCTTTAGGAGATAAAAATTAGATAAATAATCGAAAAATAATATTTAGGAGATAAAAATCGAAAATAATATTTAAATTAATATTCAAGAGTAAAAATTTGATAAAAATCGAAAATAATATTTAAAATAATGTTAATGAGATAAAATTTGATAAAATACGAAAATAATAATTAAAATAATATTTAGGAGATAAAAATCAAAAATATTATTTAAAATAATATTTAGGAGATAAAAATTTGATCAAAATCGAAAATAATATTAAGGACACAAAAATTTGATAAAAATAGAAAATAATATTTAGGAGATAATTTTTTTATAAAACTCGAAAACAAAATTTAAAATAATATTTAGGAGATATAAATTTGATAAAATTGGAAATAATATTTAAAATAATATTTAGGAGATTGATAAAAATCAAAAATATTATTTAAAATAATATTTAGGAGATAAAAATTTGATCAAAATCGAAAATAATATTAAGGACACAAAAATTTGATAAAAATAGAAAATAATATTTAGGAGATATTTTTTTATAAAACTCGAAAACAAAATTTAAAATAATATTTAGGAGATATAAATTTGATAAAATTGGAAATAATATTTAAAATAATATTTAGGAGATAAAAATTTGATAAAAATCGAAAATAATATTTAAAGTATAAAAATCTTCTAAAAATCAAAAATAATATTTAAAATTATATTTAGGAGATATAAATTTGATAAAATTCGAAAATAATAATTAAAATAATATTTAGGAGATAACAAATTGATACAAATCGAAAATAATATTTAGGAGATAAAAATTTGATAAAAATCGAATATAATATTTGGGAGATAAAAATCTGATACAAATCAAAAATAATATTTAGGAGATAAAAATCTAAAATAATATTTAAAATAATATTTAGGAGATAAATTTGATAAAAATCGAAAAAAAAAAAAATACAAATATGACATTAGGGTTTCTTTGGGTTGCCCTATCGTTTCTTTCTTTTATATAATATATATATATATATATATATATATATATATAAGAAAAAATTACAAAATTACAAATATGACATTACGGTTTCTTGAGTTGCCATAGCGTTTCTTTGTTTTATATATAAGATTTATGATGATATAAATTTGACAGTATGTATATAATAAATATATATATATATATATATAACTAGAAAAATACAACTATATCTATAAGGTGTTTCTCATACACGCGCTTTTCTTTCTCAGTAAACACTTCCCCAAACTAGGGTTTAAAATAAAAAAGAAAGTGGGGAATCCGATTCAAGCAAGGAGCCAGTGAAAAGCGAAATACTCTCGAATCAGCTTCTTTCTTGTATATATTTATATATATATATTAAGAAGAAGGGAAGTCGAACACTCAACGACACAGCGAAAATGGGAAGAGGGAAGTTCAAGGGCAAGCCCACCGGCCGCCGCCATTTCTCCACACCGGAGGAGATGCGTACGTTATTCTATTTCTAAGATTTACTGTTTATTTATGATTTAATATTGACCTAGGATCTGTTTTCGTGTTGGGTGAGGGGCGCTGCGTGAAAACGACGCATGTTTATTGGCCTATTTTGTTGTGGATTGCGAGCAATTTTTTTTCTGAATTGTTGTAGTTGAATTCATTTTACTTTTGTGTGAAATGATTTACTGGAGTAGTGTTTGTTGCCGCTGTTTCTGGTTTGAGATTTGAAAATTGGGGATTGGGAATCGAATACAGAGAGAAATCTCAGAGTTGTAAAACCTAAAATCTTAATTACATAATCCCGAACACATCATTTCAATTTAAGTGAATTATTGTTTTTTGCCATGTTTCTATTGAAAGGAGTGTTGATTACAGTTTGGTTCTATGGATTGTCTATTTTCGAGGGTCTTTTTTAACATATATGGATGATAAATTTACAAACTTACGGATAAGATTAATGGAAAGATATTGCAGAAATTAAATGAGTAACTGGGAAATGATAGATAAATTGAAAGAATATGAGGGAATTTTGTGAAGGAAGAGAGTGATACTTGAGGAGGAAGCAAAATTAGTATTTCATCATGGTAAATAATTCCGTATCCGATATAAGAGATTAGAAATCTGCAGCAGCCTACTTAACAAGATATTTTATTGTTCAAGGATTGGACATTCGTAAGCCATTAGCTGCCTTTGATCTTTTTTAAGGTCCATTAATATTATATGTCTTTCCTCCTCGATTCCCACATGGAAAACAACCCTATCCTGCCTCACACTTGTTAATTTGTGATTGTTGGTCCAGTCAGCAAACGTAGCATGAGCACATGTGGAGAGAGATTGGGGGTGAGGGTGTGTGCAAAGAGGGATTTGTTTAATTTATCTGCCTATCTGGAATATTGTTTGGCATTATTTTATTAACCAACGGAATCTCATTTTCTTCCTCTCCTTTTTTGGTTGTAAATACAGTGGCTGGTACCTCTTCTCGTCCTCGCACTTTCAGAAAGGTACTTATATAGATGCAATTTTCGTAAACTTGTTTTTCATGTTTGTGAACAGTTCTTTTGAGTTTTATTGTGAAATGTGTTGAAAGAATAAAGATTAGTGTAGCATAGCTTAGAAAAAAAATGCTAATTATATTAATGATCAGTTCAATGAGAAGCCTTATAGTTAGGTAATATTTATAGGTTCTCAATCTGTCAGTAATTGGATCCTGTATACCTATGCTCATGTCATTATCATAATAACTACATATTATTTATTTTCTCTGAATTTTTTTTTGTGCTATCAGGAAGAAGCTGAGTTGGAAGAAGAAGAGACGTCTGATATAGAGTCTGGAGAGGAATCTGATGATGTATCTGAAGTGAGTACAAATTGTGGCTCTTGAACCTTTATATTTCTTTAGACATTTTTGACCTTAAATGAAATCGTTTGATAAGTAATTTTAACCCCGATCTTTGTCTATACTGTTGACAGAAAGTGAAAGGCACCGAGGGTGTCATTCAGATTGACAACCCCAATCTCGTAAAGCCGAAGAACATGAAAGCACGTGATGTTGATGTAAGTTACTAAATCAATCTAGATGTTTTTGTTACCCTCTTTTATGTATGTATTTTTTATGTTTAATCCGTTTAATGCTCGGAGCGCTGCTTTATGTTTGCAGTTAGAGAAAACAACTGAGCTTTCAAGGCGTGAAAGGTTTGTGAACACTTCCACTCATTTATGATATATTTTCTATATGTTTGTAAAGCAAATGGTGTTCCTTTGACGTTTCGTTCCTATTTTCTTAATAATACATCTGATTCGGGTTGGTTGTATTTTGAAATTTATCACCATATGATTCTGGTTTGATATGTTCTCCTCAGAGTGAACCTAATGTGATTCTGTCATTGCAGAAGTAGATTTCCAATTTTACCCCTACACCAACTTTTGTAGTTTCCTTAGTTAAGATTTGTTCTATTTGTTCTCAGAGAGGAGATTGAAAAGCAGAAAGCTCATGAAAGGTACATGAAGCTGCAAGAACAAGGGAAGACCGACCAAGCGAAGAAAGATTTAGGTAACTTATTTTAATCTGCTTAATTTTGTTCGACACCTTTGATCATGTTTAGGCATATCCGTTCCAATTTAGATTTATTTACCCCTGCCTGGTTAATTAAAGAATAGAAGGATCAATCGAGCATTCTAGAATGATTAGATTGCAAATTGCTTATGCTTATCGATTAAGATTAACAGTAAAAGACACTTCTCACACGCTGTACTTTTTCTCAACTTACAGAACGTTTGGCCCTTATACGTCAAGAAAGAGCAGAAGCTGCTAAGAAACGCGAAGAGGAGAAAGCTGGTAACTTCTTAAGATTCTTCTGTTTGTTATATCTCGATAAACATTGCCTTTGTTGCGGTTGGATTTATGTTTCATTTTCATTTGATGCAGCCAAAGAACAGAAGAAGACGGAAGCTCGTAAATGATCTTTTGGACATGAAATGATTTTTGTTTAGGTGGTTATTTCGAACAATATTGCTACTCGTATGTCGTGCTGTTAACAATGTTCATCCCGTTTTCGTTTTACTTTCTGCCAGATTTTATTGTATCTCGATAAAACATAATACCCGTGCATTTCGTTTTATATACAAGACTTTTAAAAATACTTTGAATTTCTTATGTGCATTTCTTTTTCTATTTATAACATCAATATTATTATATTTTACGTAATAACTAAATGAAAAATGAGTTGTTTTTTTTTTGAGTAATTCAAGTCATTACAAGGGAAAGTAGGGGAGGGGGACTCGAACCATAGACCTTTTACCCTATTGGTAAGTCTAGGTATCAACTCTCGAATTTGGGATCTATCCTTTCTATATTAAAATATTGGATTTTAGAATTTTCTTTTCTCAATTACGAATTATCAAAATGGAATTGAAATTGATTTAATATTTTGGAAAAGGAAAAAATAGAATTGGAAATAGTTCGACAATTAGAGCATCACAGCGTTCAGTAGAAGACCCAAAATCCAAATTTGCAGAGTATTTTTAACGATGAGCGACCCTCAAATTCCCGATCCCAAGTCCACTCAGAAGCCCTCTCCTCCGGCAAACCCACCCAAAATCCCCACCGCCGGCGAAGGGTTTTCTCATGGCCGCAGCTTCCCAAACCCGCCGGAATCGATGAATCCGGACGCGGCGACGCTCAGAGATCAATGGCGGTTCGCAATTAGACAGTACAGTAAGTGGTACTCTCACGCATGGGGCACCGCTATTCTCGCCGGTCTCTCGTTTTTCGCCCTCGGTTGGATTGTCAAAGGTTCGAATCCTCTCCCTTCCTTCAAACCGGCCAATTCGAACGGCGGTGATAACTCCTCTCCGTCCACTAGTGGTGATAAAGACAAAGCTGCTGCTGCTGCTCAAGTCCATCAACCTCGTTGATTGGGAATTGGGAATGGTTTGGCCTTCAAACCCTTTTCTTCCCCCTACTTTCTAAGAATTTTTTGGCTGATTAATTTTATTAAACAGTTCATGGAATTTCTTTTAATTCACAATTTTTTATTGGGCAAGTTTGCATTTCTTGTCAATTTTGTTGATCCTGTTTATTTCTGTGCGGTATAAGGATACAGTTTAGTTGAATTGAATTCTGTTGAATTGGGGAAACACATGAATGACATGTTTGAATGAAATGTTGCTCTATCAATCTTGAAATTATGATAACTTGCTTTGTGATATTATTAGCTGCCGCCTATCGTTCAAAAAATAGTGTAACATCTCCTAATGTTGCTTCGAACAAACTTTTATTCGGTTTTTCATCTTGTGTTTGTTGCTTTTTCGAGCATGTTACAATGTTTACAATTCGCTTACAATTCGCTACCGTGGATATTGCAATGTTTACTCGGTTACTCACATAGAGTGCGTATATTCCATGTACTTTTTGCATATGTACTCATATAGTAGTTCTATTTTGGTATGGGATGTGTTAATGCTAAATTTACTTACCCTTCGTTTATCTATTTCTGTTTTATTACAGGTGCCTCTGATCGTGTTCTTCTAGTGGATCGTGTTTTTCTCCCTTCGTTTATATGGTCAAGTTCAAAATGGTGGGTGCAAAACAATCTAAAAACCGTGTATATTTCCTTCAGCATGTTAGTAGCTAAAAGCTTTTCGGATATGAATATGAAGATGCTTGATCTTTGATGCTTACTTCCTTTTGCATCCCTAATAATATCTAAATACGCACGTTTGCCTTTGTCCTCTGTTTACTTTCGTTAAGAAATAAGAAAAATAAGCAGCACGTTTTCGTATGGAGTCACGTAACAAGGTTTCATCATATACATAATGTTATGATATAAATAACTCAACATCAAACAATATTCGATAGTTTCCTATGATATACGATATGATATACAACCTTGTAATCGTGTCGAGCTCGGTTTTTAGCCAGAGCAGCACCCGGTTTTCTTAACCGCAGAAACATCGTCTCTGCTTCCAATATTAATAGTTTGGCCCTTGGGCAGAGTAGCAGGGTCATCCCCTATTTCCAGAGCCTTTCTGCTCACGACGTGGTAGATTTGCGTCAGCACTTCGGTGAAGGCGTTTTCGACATTCATGGCTTCGAGAGCTGAAGTTTCCATGAAAAACGTGTTCTCCTTTTCTGCAAACTCTTTTGCATCTTGAGTCGGGATCGCACGAAGGTGACGGAGATCCGCTTTGTTTCCGACGAGCATTATTACAATGTTGTTGTCTGTGTGGGCCCGCAGCTCCTTAAGCCATCTTTCCACGTTCTCGAACGTCACGTGACGCGTCACGTCGTACACGAGTAGTGCCCCCACCGCCCCCCTGTAGTATGCACTTGTGATTGCACGGTACCTTCAAAACATGGGTATTTCTTGAAAATTTTGATAACATTAAAAAAACCAAAAAAAAAATCCCCCAATTCCAAATTACCAGGGAATATTCATTCATATGCCCATCAAGCAACGTTTAAATGAAACAATCAAAAAATAAAATTCATAACCAAAAGAAATATTAGAAAGATAACAAATGCATGACGTCAGCAACAAATTAAATGCATGAAGGAAGCTAAAAAAATGCATGACGTCATCACCTTTCTTGGCCGGCGGTATCCCAAATTTGGGCTTTAACGACCTTGTCGTCAACTTGAATGGAACGGGTGGCGAACTCAACGCCGATGGTTGATTTAGACTGCTGGCTGAACTCGTTCTTCGTGAAACGGGACAGGAGGTTGGATTTACCGACGCCGGAGTCTCCGATCAGGACCACCTTGAACAGGTAATCATAATCCTCGTCCCCTCTGTATGCTCCCATCCTTTTTTTTTTTTTTTTTCTTTTCCCCCTTTTCAGTATTATTATTTAATATGGTTTATGTTATGTGCATTAATTAGGGTTGAGAATATCGTGGGGAGTTGATTCTGCGTTTACAATTGTCTTTTTGCATGGAGGAATGAATGTTTGGTTGTTTGCTTCTTTTTTCCCTCCGAATATTTAGGGGGACTGTTGATATATGTTGCTGCCCCAAACCCGTCAACTAATCCGGGTCATACATTTGTTTAAGTGGATATATCTTACCGGGTTGGACCCGTTTCTAGGCCCATTAAGATAATTCAAGTATTTTGGCCCAACTAATATCTCTTGGCTCACCTTTGCCTTTTCTGATTTGTTGGGTTTCCCGCCCAATACTAATTTATCCTATGAATTTGTAATCTTGTACATATATAGGAAATGACTTTCTTTCTTTCTTTCTTTAATTTATTTATTTATTTAAAAGGTAAAAAGGAAAAAGTGAAATTAAAATTAACTTTAAGATTTAGTGAACTAGATCTCTAATTCAGCCAGGTCTGCGGAAGCAGTTGGCTATGTGTAGCAAAGCTAGCTACTGAATTATGGATACCTATATACAAGTAATAGAGAATATAAAAAAAAAAAGTTAATAAAAAAATATAAAAGTAGGTTAATTGGTGAAGTATGAAAGCACAAGTCATATGAAAAGGTTAAATTGGTTGAATTAAAAGTAGTCACAATATATCAAGAACAAGTAGGTAGGCACCCACATCGGGAATTTCGAAAAACACTTTGTCTCACCTTAAATAATCGACACCCCCATAACTCCGCTCAGACAAACATACCTTCTCAGTACGTACTTCCCGTACGTACCACTTTTTATTTAATAAAATAAAAAGAATTATACGTAATTATATATATACATTCAAAGTATATATGTGTGTTTCTAAATTGAAGTGATTTTGTTTGAATGATGATATATGATTACTGTCAAAACTGATGTTTCATGCACAACCCACCCCACAACTGTGGAGCAAACAGCTGACGTATAGTAACTAAACAGAAAATGGAATTATATTTGCAGTTTTATTGATATGATGTTTCATATATCCTTCAATCAATCACACGAATATATGTATATATATATGCAGTGCGTGTGTGTGTGTGTGTTTTTCAAAAGCACTGTTCTCATTATATCCATTTTGCACGTAATCAATCTGCGCCACTCAACCCCATATATATATTTGACCCGTCAATTATATACAAACAAATTAAATCACCACACATATATATTTTGGGTTGGTTAGTTAATTAATTAATTATTTTATTTTATTTTTGCATGAAATTAAAGAAAAGAAAATGCATATCTGCTGCAGTTTTGATTATTAGGGGGAAGCTAAGTTAAAAAAATAAAAATAAAAGCGTGCTCAAACAGTGGGATTAAATAAAAAGCCGAAGTAGGTATTTCTTCTTTGATTGACAACACACTGCTTCTTTCCAACAGTTGTCTTTTATTCCCTTTAAGCCATGCTTTTTCAAAACCTTTCATTTTTTTTTGAAAAATAAGACAATATATAATTGGAAAAAACTTGTCTCATTGATCGATCAATTTAACTATTTTCTTATATTTTTAAAGAATTTTAACAAATATATTTTAATTTAGCCGGACAATATTATTTTTTATTTTTCTTACAACATTAGAAAAACTTAGATTTGAAACTACATTAAAAACAAAAAAAATATAATAAAAACATAAGAAAATGCATATGGAGAAGTGCAGTGATGATAAAAAAGGAAGCAAACTAATTAATTAAGGTGGTTCGGTTCTTAAACCATACGTAGTGACTACTATTGTTCACAACATACATCAATTAATTTTATATTATATTATATGATAAACTAAATATTACGAAAACAACCACAAAAGCCACGAAAATTAGAAATCTGATCCATCCATCCATCCATCCCCTAGCTCGTTTCTTCTAAATCTGCGTGACAAATATACCACAAGCAAAACATAAATAACTTAAATTAGCTAGTGATTAATCTCTATTTAAAAAAAGAATTAGGGTTTATAAGAAAAAAAAGTCAAATGAAAATACCAAATCAATAGTGCGGTCAACGGGAGAAGGAGGGGCAAAAGGGCGGGAGAGATAGTAGAAGCCGCCGTGCTGAAGCGGCTGAAGGGTAACACCCCAGTCGTTAGTGAGAACAGGGTGGCCGGAGGAATGAATCAGCACCGCATCATCACCAAATGCTTCCCTCACACTGAACGGTCCATATCCAACCTCAAAGCACACGTCGTTTATGAACACCGTCGATCTTGTGGGCCCCACCGTTTCTCCTACACCTGTTCACATCAAATCACATCACATCACACTTAATCTTCTTACATCATCTTCTTCTTTTTTCTTTTTTTTTTTTTTTTTTTTTAACAATAATAAGCACAAGTCAATCCATGCAGACGTTCTGAGGGACAGAGGGAACACAAATTCCGGGCTAAAGACAAATTTATCCTTGTCTCCTTCCGTAAATTACTTAAATGCCCTTCTTATAATATAACGTACTGAGATGTGCACAATTATCTGTCAATTCCATGAATAACTTAACCTTGTTTTGTTCATCACAATAAATAAATAAATAAATATGAATATTGAATGAACAGGAGGGGTTGCTTTAATTTAATTGCAGAAACCCTAATTTTTTATTTAAATAAAAAAAAAAGAATATTATTATTATTACCTTGAAGAATTTGATTAATGGATGGCACAGAAAAAGGTGGAGGAAGACAAGGGTTTGGTGGTGCAGAAGTTGAAGCGTAGTTACTCAGATTTTGTTGATGGAATTTGAGCTTGTCGTCTTCTTCTTTCTTTGAAGATGGGTAATGGCCCATAAGCATCAGCTCACTCAGTAGAAAGTTACTCGGGACTGTGTTCTGATCGGCCACAATATTATCGGGAAAGTAAAACCCTTGTGTTATAGAAGACGGCGGAGGAGATTGGGTTGCTCCGGCGTTCTGCTGCACCGCCGGGAAAAAGAAGGGTTCCGCCAAGAACTCGTTGGCGTTGTTCGCATGGAAGAAGGGCTGGTTGACGGAAGCAGTGGGCGAATTCAGCAAGTCGATCACAGTGATCGGACCGACGGATAGGGACTTCTCGCTCGAGTTATTCGGTGATGATTTGTCGGAGGAGGACGAGGATGAAGACGGAGGAGGAGCGGCGGCGGCGGCGGACGGCGGTGGGTGACGAGATTTGGGGGTGTGGTGGAGGTTCTGGCGGTGCTTGTGTTTGCTTCTGGATTTGCGGTTCTGAAACCAGTAGAAAACGTTGGCATCTCCGACTTGGCCGAACTCCTGCAACTGTGCCCTAATTTTTCTGATCTCGTCTCGGGGCGGGTTAACCATACCCGAATTGAAAATGGATTCAAGTATCCCGATTTGCTCCGGTCTAGGGTTCCATCTCGGTTTCGGCTCCGGGGTTCTCTCTTCACACCCTGACATATATACATACATGAGATTAATATTAATTTCTTGTAAAATAATTTTTATAAATATATAATTGTGGGGAAATTACGAGATTACCAGGGGTGTTGAAAGGGGTACGGGTGCAAGGAGAAGAGAGTAGAGTGGAGTTGACGTCATGCTGCTGATGCTGCCATTGATGGTGAGTTGTGGTGTTGCAGGGTTTGGATTTGAACATGCTTGGCCAGTGTCTGTTCGATGAAGCCATGATATTTTATATGTATGTGTGTGTGTGTTTGTGGTAGTGTGTGTAGAGTATAGTAGTGAGTGTTTTTCAGAGAGTGAATGGAAGTCTGGTAACAAGACACCTCCTCTTTATAGCCTCTTTTGCATCACCTACTCTCCTGTCTGTTTTAGAGAGAGAGAGAGATTAGAGTGAGAGATGATAATAAATGATTTATGAATGGATTAATTAATTAAAGCAAAAACCAAAAAAAAAAAGGTTTAATTAATCAAGAAAAAAAAAAGAGAAAACCCAGAACAAGAATCGCCTGCAAAGTTATAAGCAAAAAGGGAAACGGAATTAAATGGAAAGATGAGAGAGAGAGAGAGAGTTAGTACAGCAGGCCCATACCACCCTTCCTTCATTACAAGAATGCAATAATAAAATCTAGAATACTTGTTGTTTACTCATGCAATAATAATATATATAATAATATTACACCCCCCCGTATGAGAAGCAAATAGAACAATTAAAGGGAGCACATGCCTCTGCTTACATTAGAATCTTCATCACAGTACTCACAGAGAGAGAGAGAGAGAGAGAGAGACCTTAATGCACGAGGGTGTGATGGTGCAGAGAGAGAGAGAGAGAGAGAGAGAGAGATGAGTTGTATCTGATGAGTTTGTCTCTTTGTATCAGATTATATCAATCTTGTTTGTGTGCAGTTTTCAATGAGGGTTTTTTTTTTTTTTTTATTAATTTTTTTTTCTGCAGAAGAAGGTGAATAAATGGTGGGAGAGATGAAAGGATGTAGGCACACAGGCACAGCACAAGATTACATGAGATATAGTTATAAATTATAATAATAATATTATTGTAATGCAAAAAAGAGGCTGTTGTTGCGTGGGATAAATAAATAAATAAACAAAATAAAAGAGAGGGGTGTTTGAAAGTCAATGTGTTCACGTAGGGTTTTGGGAAGCGGTAAGTGAAACCAAGGAAAGGAGAAAATAACTGATGCTTTTTATTAATTGCTCTATTTTTTTTTTCATGCTTTAAATAATTTTTCTTTCTTGGATTGATTAATGAATTTCAAATGAAGGGCTTTCAATATTCACATATTTGAATTGATACTCATATATTAGGAAAAATTAGCCATTATTAATTAGCACTAAAAAAGAAATACTAAATACTCATATCATTACTTTTATTTGCATTAATAAAGAGTAATGATGGCGAAATTATGAAAATTGTAATGTTGAATTCTCAGGCGACAGATAATAAAATAAGAAGAAGGGAAAAAAAAAATCAAATTCGCAATTAATTTGAGACAAAAGTAACAAGGAGTTCAAATTTGAAGGTAATTGTTTGTTCATTTTTTCCTCTCTATTAAATCGAAATATCATATAATTAATTAATTAATTAAGTGAATTGTGCAATTGTGTTGAATTTGAATTTGTATTAATTGCAGTATTTGACTGGAATTGCATTAATCACAAGGAAAGTTGGAAGGGCGATCAACTTTTTGATGATCCAATAACTACAATTTGTCAATTTGTTTATGTATTCACACACTCACACTTTGTAGTAACTCTTTTGCAACTTTCTATGTAATTAAAATTAAGGAGAAGTAATTGTTTGGTCTATTTTGTGTCCCTCCCATTCCGACATTCAAATTAACCTTCACTCTAACTCCTCGTGCATTGCCTTTTTTCATCCTCAATTTTCAGTTGATTTTCATTTCAATATATATATACTCAGAGTCGGGATTTTAAGTTCGAGAGGGACGAATGCATTAAAAAAATTCTAAGCAAGGCCGTCAATGCTATTATACACGATTTTTGGTTATTTCTATATAAAAATAAAATGAATCCGAAAAATGTTTGGGAGCCATGGCCCCCTGACCCGGCCCTATGCTGGCTCCGTCCAATGTATGTACTCACAAACATCATTATTCTTGAATATTCTAAAGAAAACTTTCTTCAAATCTATTGTGATATATAATACTCAATTATTCACTTATTAATGTAATCTTTTTTGCTAGTATGAATTTGCCATACATAATAAGCCCTAGGCTAAATCATTTGGCATAGTTCGTTAATTAAATTAATGGCATTTAATTGATAATATATATTTTGTTTTTTTGTTGGGTGAAAAGGTTGATGTACAAAACGCACAATCCCATCACAAGTCTTTCAATTACGAGTAGACCCATCATATATATATATATATATATATATATATATATATATGCTCGATATGGGTTACTACTTTTTTCTTCTTTTTTCCAGATCGAACGTGTGCAAAACTGCAGTTCATTATGGTGGGGGTAGTAATTTTTCAATAAAATAGAAATAAATAAATAACGTTTTGGTGATATCAATTTATTAAATTTAAATTTTGTAATATAATGTGATCATGACTTTTCCTGTTTCACTGTGTTAACTTGAACCTTTTCTTCCAATTTGTCTGCTACAAAAATGGAGATTTGTTGGAGCTAGGGTAATTCAGATTAACTTTTACTTTGGTTCTTGTCTCTGTTTGGCAAAACTGCTTTCTACGCTTGTCTACACGTTTTCATGCAATAAATTTAATCAATATTATTAATTGCTCCATTTTTTTTTATTTAAATAAGTAAACAGTCGATGATTATTATGCCCACTGATTGGTCAAAGGTTTGGGTCAACGATACATTCATTCCAATATTCCATTAACCTTCTCGCTGACCAAGGATCAATCAAAGATTACTGTAAATACCACTTTTAATGGTTAAAAATTTTAATTTAGGTTAGGGTTTAAAAATAGTGAATTAATTGATAAAAAAGATTGAAGAAGGGGTAGCACATGAAAACAATGAATGTAGGAATTAATTAATTAATGAATTATAATGAAATAGGTATGTGTGTGTTAGCGCGAAATGCGCCAACAGCCTTCACTTAATGCAAACGTGCTCTTACTAAATGCTCTACCAGTACTTCTGATTTATTGCACTATATATATTTTTCTGCACATGCCAACTCCATTACACATTACTTTCATCTATTACCACCTCAGTTAAAAATAAAATTATTAAAAAAAATAAAATATCTACTACACATCTAACGAACCGGTCTCGGGAACATATCGAACCAGGACTTCATTGTCCGATTTTCATAAAGATGACTAAACAATTACCTTACAAAGTTACAAACGGTGAATATTTCCTCATTAATATTTGAAGGATACTTTATGGAACCTACACACGGTGAACTTCACCAAATGTAATCTCGTCATACATATAGATTATCAAATAAAATCGATTTTTGTAGTTTTCTTTGTGCAAAACTATAGATGGCGTACGTCAACAAATGTATGATTTGCAAAACTACTCATTTCATTCCATAATAACTGTTACTTTAAAGAAATATTTTGATTTCATATTATCTGTCATTTAGAATTCCAAGAAAATATGAAGTATATTTTAAGGGTTTCACCGCGGACGACGTGGCATCCGGAGCGAAACCCTAGTTTTGATAATAAATTCTAGTCAATTTGATCGTACCAAGATTTTTCCTTCAACATTTTCACCTATCTGCTAATCAAATTCATCTCTCATTTATCTCATCAGCCCCAGTATTTATTTCATTGGGGGGAACAATCAACAATAAATTAAAAATCAAGAAAATTAAAAGATCTGTCATGATCCGCAAAACACGGACACATCCTTTATTATTAGACCCTAATTAAAATATTACTTGTTTTTCCTCCTAGGAAATTGAGGTCTACATATATACATACATAATATACATAAATACATACATATTATTATTGTATTATATAAATAAAATTTTATTAGGCCCCTGCAAGTGTGATCAGATGCTTATCCACACACTAATCAGGGTTCTCATTTTCTTGCAACAATGAGGTATGTTTTACAAAAGTCAACAATTTTGTGAATCTTGTGGATGTGTTTAATTAATTAATTAATTTGTTCAAAGTACAAAAATTATGGGGACTGTCATCAAATGTTTTATTTATTTATATATATTTATTGGTAAAACATACTGTGTTAGTTGTAAAACATTGTAATCAGCTTCTTAACAAATATACCTAGTAATGAATTATAATATTTGATCAGCATATAATATAGCACGTCCCCAAGATGAAGTGGTCCAGTTGAAATAAAAACTGTGAAACTATTATTCCTCATCAAATTAACTATTAAAATTCAAAAAAAAAAAAATTACAAGATTTTTTAATTGCAGTGTATCAAAAATTACAGGATATAATATTTTTTAGTAAATATATGAAAATTGTGATTCGCGAAAAATATATATACATATTATTGAATTTTAAAGGTAAGTGCATCTTCGAGACTTTCGGGGCTTTTTCTTCGCATTTTTCGGTGGTTGTAGAACGATTTTTATTGCAGTATCGAATACGGCTTTCACATTCTGGAAATTAAAAATATATAGTAAACAAATGTTTGTTAATGGAATTTAAGTATATATAAAAAAAAAAATTAATTACCTGCTGAGTTTTTGCACTACATTCAATATAAGCTATTGCTCCAATCATCTTCTTCAATTCTTCACCCTGTTTCGAAATAATTATAGATTATATTTAACTTATTTATTTAATTTTTTTGGCTACAAAAGGGAGGAAAAGGAAATTTGATTGTTGAGGCAGGGGCTTACTTGCAAATTTGTTATAGGGGCTGCACCAGGATGGTCGCTTAAAAATTGCTTATCTTCTCTCAAGTCTGTTTATTATTAAAAGATTGTCCATATAAGAATTAATTGCACTTTGACACCCGAATTATATATGTTTTTACATTTATCCACCATACTTTGTTTTTTTTTTTTCTTTTGTTGCACTTCATCTCGTAAGATATAAAATTTGCACTTAACCCCCTAAAACATCAAGATTTTTTTCAATTAGAGTTGATTATATAATAAGACCCAATTTCTATTCATTTGAAAACCTATTGACATGAAAAAATTGATAACATGACGAGATTTCGAAATTTTTCATTCATTTTTAATTACAAAATCTCGAAATAAAACAACGAAAATCATAAGATGAGAATTTGTTATATTCGTTTGAAGAATTCTTACCCATTTTGGTTCCCACGAGTACAATTGGTACGTACGGAGAATAGTGCCGTAACTCGGTAATCCACTGTGATTAATTAACATAAAAATTAAAAAAGAAAATACTTAATAGATTTAAAAAAAAAAGGACTATAAATAAATATGGAAAAATTAAAAAACCTTCTTGTATATGTTTTCATAGCTGGCTTTGCTGATTAGAGAAAAGGCCAATAAAAACACATCAGCTCCTCTGTAACTCAGAGGCCTTAGCCTGTTGTAATCTTCTTGCCCTGTATTTAATTTATATATCCATTACTTAATTTAATTTATTAACAATATCACTATAATATATAAATTATAATGCATGTTTTTGCAGGAAGATATGAAATAAATTAATTGAACCTGCGGTATCCCAAAGGCCTATGTTCACTGTGCTCCCGTCGACAACCACATTTGCGCTGAAGTTGTCGAATACAGTCGGAACATAATCCTGTAAACCGAAAAAAAAATGTTGTTAATTATTTCGTAACTACGTACGAAATAATGATATTGCACGTAATAAATATTTTACGAATGTATAGCGGTGTACATACGGTTGGAAAAGTATTGCTAGTGTAAGAAATGAGCATGCAAGTCTTCCCGACTGCGCCATCTCCGACCGTAACACACTTGATAAACCGAGCAGTGGTCATTTTCTCTTGCCTGCTGTTTTCTTTGCATCCACTACTCTCCATATATATATATATATATATATATATATATATATATATATATATATATATATATATATATATATATATATATATATCATATATACTTATAAGTTGTTGTTTCAAATGTGTAGTTTTTAATTTAAATGTAAAATATTATGTAATCTTGATGAGATTATTGAAAATGATTGCTAAAAGACTTTTATTTCATTTTTATTTTCTTAGAGTTAAAGGGCAGGAATGAAAATTAGGTGTAGTGGTCACAGTTTGTTGGTTTAAGTGTTGAACAAGGGATTCCAATAAAATAAAATGAAATGATTGATCAAAAGCAGAGGATTGCTTAATTAGTATGCAACTAATAATATATAACTATCATTCATTATCTGGTTGTTGCGGCAGAGTCAGCGATAGGGGTGTAAATGAACTGAGCCGACTCGACAAAATCTTGAACTCAAAGTTTTGGAGCTCGAGCTCGTTTACACTCCTAGTCAACGATGACTAGACCTAATTATTTGAAGTTTATTTTAAATTAATTGATAAATCGTTGTTGGGCCTGAATAATTTTGAGCCCAAGAATATGTACCATGGTCCATGTATACTACCTTACTATTACCGAGTTGTACAAGCTCTATATATAAGACGGCCCAATTATATAAATCCACAAGAACCTGTGAAATTGAAGGACAATTTAGACTTTAATTCATAAATAAAATTACTTTTGCAAACTTTAGATTTTATACAAATTGATTTTTGATACTACTTTAGTAAGGCATTTTTTATTGTATTGTAGTATCAATCAATCATTTTCCAAAAAGAAGATACTAACAATTAATTATTTAATCTCAAAGACCAATCCCCATTTTGGTTATAGTCCCCAAATATTTCAAAGTTCAAACACGTGAAGTTCATATTTTAACCTAACTATTTTGACTACAAAATTAAAAGGAATAAGTGTTGACTTTGGAATTGTAGTTGTGGAATTGTCAAAGTCGTTTGGAATTCCAAAACAGGTCATTTTTCTATGCTTAGGAAACCTTGGAACAATACTTTTTGGCCGTATACACATTTTTTTTAGGGCAATTATAAACACTCAGAGGTATGCTCAATTTACAAAAAAAAAAAAAAAAATCCCTCTTGTTTGGATACTTATATCTACCCCTCAACAATGTTTTTTTCTTACACCTCCACCCTTATGGTATCAAGTTAAACATAATCGTCTAGATTTCGTGAAATGTGCTCTAGTTTGTATTCGTTTTGTGTAAAAATACAGTTTCTGATGCACTATAATCTGATATATATACAAGTCAAAAAACACATATTATGATCATCTTGCTTCAAAATGTAGAGTTCGAATGGAATAAAACAGGTACAAAAGTGATAATATTCCATATAATCTCGAAGATTCCACTAAATTTGAAGAGTTGAGGGGTGGTTATAATTATCCAAATAAGAGGGATATTTCGTAATTTAACTATACTCTGAGTGGTTGTAATTTACGCTATTTTTTATATAATTGCACCAAAGACGTGTTTGAACTTTGGCAATAAATATCAATTTGAATTTCGCAACAACAAAGAACAATCAAAACACGATTTTTCTGTTTTCTCGATTCCGCATTTTCCGCACCCCTCTTTAAATAGACCCCAAAAAAAATAGAAAGAGAAAACCTCAAAAATCCCGCCATGGATTTATGCCGGCAAACTGAGTATCTACCTCTAAACGAGAACGATTCACAAGAAATAGTACTACAGCAAGTTCTCAACGAGGCCGACGCCCTGAACACCTCCCGCCGCCACCGCCACCGCCGCCATCTCCTCCGGCCGTCTCCGTCCAATTCCATTGCAAAGAATCGCCACTACAGAGGCGTGCGGCGGCGTCCGTGGGGCAAATTCGCGGCGGAAATCCGCGATTCCGCCCGGCAAGGGGCTAGGGTTTGGCTGGGCACCTTCGAAACAGCCGAAGCAGCTGCTCTGGCTTACGATAGAGCCGCTTTTAAAATGCGCGGCGCCAAAGCCCTGCTCAATTTCCCTCCTCTAATGGTGGCTCCTTCTTCATCGGTTAATAACTCAGATCAAGACACAGTTATATAACTATATGCTCGTTAGTATCATGTATGTATAATGTAAGTATATATAGTTGTTTAGTTTCACGCGCGGCTTGTTTGTTGTTTCTCTTTTGATCATTGTTTTGATCCATCTTTTAATTGTGAGTGTGTGTATATATATATATATATATATATATATATATATATATATATATATATATATATATATATATATATATATATATATATATGGGCGCAAAACACAAAAATATATTGGGGTATATATGAGTCTAATAGAAAATATATAAAAAGATATATATTATTGCGCCGCATCCGAATACTAAATATAAAAAATATATATAAATGTTTCACGGGGAGTGCACGCGCTCTCCAAAATACTCTATAGAGAGATCCTCTATCTCAAACACATAAATATCGACCCCCCCCCCC